ATCCTTTAGACATTATCCAAGCGTCCTATAGGCACCATCCATACGTCCTTTAGACATTATCCACACGGCACCATCCATTCATCCTTTAGACATTATCTACACGTCCTACATGCACTATCCATACATCCTTTAGACATTATCCACACGTCCTATAGACAATATCCACTCATCCTTTACGTATAATCCGTGCATCTTTATTCAATGATAGAGCTGAAAAATAGAAAAACTTTCAAAACTTTCATTTATTCACTCTTCCAGAAAATATAGGTCACATACAGCGTCCAAATTATAGGTTGTATTATATCGAGTATAGTTCCAAAAATAATTAGATCTCAGAAGAAATATAGGTCACATTCAGATTAAATGACATAAAAACTCGGTTAATGCAAGTTTGATCAACATAAGAATTAAAACTGGTGTTACACGTCCCAAGGGGCTGGTAAATATGTGCATTATACACTTTACATCTCGTCTCTTTTTCACATTTTATAAACTGAGATCTTATCTCGCATTAACGAGATAATTCCTCCTTTGTTATGAGATAGTCTAGGTTTTTAAACGAATATTACCTGATATTTTTTGGCTTTTGTGAATTTTCTTTAAAATATTGTTTTTTCTTTGATCTGACTTGTTATCGCTAATGTCCTTTCAACATCAAGATGTAGCGTTAAAAAGTCATTAAAGGTAATTATGAGGAGGTTATCTCATAAAATGTTAAAATGAAGCGAGAAGCAAAGTGTTTAATGGACATTTTCAACTAGCCCCTTGGGACGTATAATACCAATTTTACAAAAGTAGCTGTAAAAATCTTGACTTAATTCATGTGTTGTCAAAATACTAGTAGAAATAAAATCTATTTTGTTTGGCTTGAAAAGAAAGCATGCAAAGTTCATTGTTGACAGAGCTTTTATATAATAGGCTATAACGACTATCGATTCGATGTTCTTTAATTAAATCAGAACCAAACCATTTCCCCCTTTTAAGATACTCTAATCCATCAAATATTCTCTATGATTTCTTCCCCCTTAAAATTCATTTAATGGACGGAAAGACGACCAGATTGTATAATGCTGTTGAAACCAAACAACAAAGTGAACAAGCAGTCAATGTATATTGTAAATCGGTACTTCCCCGGACTGCGGACACCACATTAATTATTATTTTTAGCTCCCCTGGTCTGAGACCAGAAATTAAGTGATGGGAAAGTTCTTAAAGTGTATATTTTTGCCTATCAAACTGTTTCGATCTCCCTCTGTAAAAAATATTTTTGAAAATGTTTCTCCCTTTGTTTTGTACCGATTTCAATAAAACTTAAAAAAAAAGCATATAAGCAGACTACACCAAGATACATAATTCTATCGCGATTTCGATGAACAATGTTGCCATGGTTACTTAAATAGAGTACAGTATGAGATTCTTTCAAAATGTTTTTCCTCCTACAATTTCATCCAATTTCAATAAAAAGTGGTGCACGGGTACATGACACAAGAAGGTCAGTTTAGCTCACTTGAGCTGAAAGTTTAAATGAGCTTTTCTGGCCACCCGTTGCCCGACGTCCGTCCAACTAGATGTCTGTCTGTCTATCCGTATGTAAACTTTACAAATTTTCGCCTTCTTCTCAAGAACCACGGGACGAACTTGCCACAAAGCATTCTCGTGCAAAGGGAATTCTAAATTGGTCAAAATGAGGGGACAAACATAGGGTTGCATGGTTAAAAAATCTTCTCAAGAACCACTGCATGGACCATAAAAGATGTGAAAGCATCCAGAAAAAGTGTTAATTCTACATTGTTCAAATCATACCGGGGGGTTAGGGGGTTGTTGTTAATGTGGGGCCACAATAGGGGTTCGAAGTTTTAAATTGAAATCAATAGGAAAAAATCTGTAAGAAATCTTCTAGAGAACCACTGGACCAGAAAAGATGAAACTTTTGTGAAAGCTTCCAGACATAGTGTTAGATTCTAAATCATACAAATTCTGCCCCTCCTACCCCCTCTCCCTTGGGGGGGGGGCACAACTGGGGATAAAAGTTTTCATCGGAATAAAAGGAAAGTTTTTTTCTCTTTGAATAATCTTCTCGAGAATCACTCATGGACCTGAAAAAATGTAACTTATGTGAAAGCTTCCTAACACAATGCATATATTCTAAATTATTCAAATCATGGCACCTTGGGGTAGGTTGTTTCTGTCGTGAAAATGCATTTATTCTTTGAAGATCATCTTTCCTGCTCCTGGGTAAAATAAATCAAATGCATAAAATAAATCAAATGCATAGTTATAAGGAACAAGGGTGCCTCTTCCAAAATGTGAATTTCATTGCCCCTGGGTCAGGGGTTCTGATGTGTGTGTGTGTGTGGTGGGGACTCTTTTGATTATATAGTGAAAACGAATTATTTCTTTGAACATCTTCTTCTCTGTTCCTGAGTATTAAGTGCAAGTTATGATGAGCAGAGGTGTCTCTTTCCAAATTGTGAATTTTATGGCCTCTAGGTCAGAAATTTTGGTGTTAGGACAGGGCTTTATTGATTAATATTTTTAAAATGCATCAAGTCTTTGAAAATCTTCTTCTCTGCTCCTTGGTATTAAGCAGATAAACTAAGTGCATCGTTATAATGAGCAAAGATAATTTTTCCAAAATTGTGAATAGAGAAGATTTTCCAATAAATAATGCATTTTCACTATAGATTCAAAAGAGCCAGGGACAGGGGTTTTTGGCAGGGGGGTTCTATTGTTTGCAAACTAAATGCATGGTTAAGATGAGCAAGGGTGCCTCTTCCAAAGTTTTTGAATTTCATGGCCCCAGGTTAGGGGGTTCTGGTGTCAGGGTGGGGCTTTACTGATTATAAGGTAAAAATGCATGAATTCTTTGACAATTTACTTCTCTGCTCCTTAGTATTAAGCAAAAAAAAATAATAATAGTACAAAGTTATGATAAGAGAGGGTGCTTCTTCCAAAATTTTGCATTTTATGGCCCCTGGGTTAAGTGCCCTAGTGTTATGATGGGTCTCTGTTGATTATTTCCGAAATTGTAAATTTCATGGCCTCTGGGTCAGGAGTTCTGGTATTAAGACAGGAACGTATAAATCAGATGGTGAAAAAGCATCTGTTTTTAAAATACCCTTTTCTCTGCTTCTGGATATTTAATAGACAAACCAATTGCATGGTTATGATGGCCAAGTGTGCCTCTCAAAAATTTGAAATTCATAGCCACTGGGTCAGGGTTTTTAGAGTAAGGATGGGGCTTTTTGAATATGTAGTGAAAATGCATTTAATCTTTGAAAATCTTCTCCTCTGCTACCGGATATCAAGCGAACAAATTAAATGCATGGTTATGAAGAGCGAGGGTGCATTTTCCAAATTTTTGAATTTCATGGCTCCAGGGTTAGGGTATTGGTGTCAGTGTGAGGCTTTATTGATTATATTGTGAAAATGCTTCAATTCTTCGAAAATCTTCTTCTCTACTCCTAGGTATTTAGCAGATAAACTATATGCATAGTTATGATGAGCAAATGTTCCAAAACTGTGAATTCCATGACCCCTGTGTAAGGAATTCAGGTGTTAGGGCGGGCCCAGGGGTTGTGTTGAATTTATAGTGAAAATGCATTATTTCTTTGAAAATTTTCAGCTCTGCTCCTGGGCATCTACCGTATTTATGAAAATCTGGACCACACGGTCAAGTGTTTTGTTGCTGGGCAGGATTCTATTAATTTGTATTCTACTGCGAGAAGTTACCCGTTGCTATTCACACTATTTACTCTTGCTTTTGGGCAGTGTATCTTTTTATTTCAGTTTATATAGTTTTATTTTATACGTCTATGGATCCTTTATAGTGTTGTATTATATTCAGGTGACCATTAAGGCCCTTGGGCCTCTTGTTATTTATAACCTTTTCTCTAGGCATTTGATAATTGTTTGCACCTGAGAATATATAACATTGTTCATGTAATGCACAAACAAATGCATGTTTCAAGGAAACTTCTTATTTACCTCAAATTATACATGATATATTGACTAATACTGGTGATGTTTGTATTATATGCATGCAAATCTCAAAAGATGAAACAGGTGCACAAGTGCGTGTTTCTACGTGCATGTTGAGGCTTAAGTAAATGGTATCGCTGTAAGCATGCTCAGTGAACACAATTTTTCCTCTCGTCATTATCCATCCGGTTTGAATCCGTACTCATCTTCCCATGTCTTTGTTCATTATCTCCCAGTACGTTATTTTCACTGCAATCTTAATTTCACACGTTCTCTGTTAAGAAATTCTCAGTGCATTTAATATAATATATTGAGAGATTGAGTAACTGTTACTAGAGAGTGAGTAGAAACTGAAAAGATACGGCTGGTGTCTGATATTGCCAATGTTCGCAATCATGTGTGACACGAGGGGACTCGGGACACCTTACATGGGGGAGGGGGGATGCTGGTCCCCTTTTTATTGACTTGACAAAAGATCAAAAGATGTGTATACGATTTTTACAGAAAACTGTGTGTAGTTTTATCTGACTTTCATACTGTGCCTTAAGGACAGATGACACAAACTTTTTTTTTCAAAATTCATGAAAATAACTAAATAAGTTTAGCCGCAGAAAGTTTCATTTTTCATTCCAAGTTTGTCAATAATGTCCTATAAAGTGATTTTAAAAATAGCTAATTTGTAAAGGTGATAGCAAAAAAAAAAAGAAATCTGAACATTAAAGAAAGTCTACAATTTCTTAGTATGATGGAGATTTGATACATGCATCATTTACAACCCAATCAAGTTAAAAAACAAATATATCAATCCGTGCATCCATTTTTTTTTTATAGCATGTGTTCTTAATAATAGTGTTCGTTTTAAAATACATCATAAATTATGTTCTGTTACGCACGTCTTTTTAATATAAATTAGTAGATAACCCACAAACATGTATGTATACAAGGTAAAATATACAGACTGTCACGGTTCGTTGGTTAAATTATTTTCAAAATTGTGCCACTCTCTTTCCCCCCATGTGAGTGACAATAAAACAAATACGAATATCTGTACGTTTTCCGGGGGATGATGCGGCTTGTTTTGAAGGTTTAGAGGTATGTACTTTCATTATTGATCTTATTCCATAATTCCAGTACATAAATGACGGTTCTGATGTGTGCCTGTTTCTTGTTCATTAAATTTATGTGGCGAATGCCTTCACCATTTACATATCGTTAATGAATTCTAGAACGTGAATGTGTACCTTTATCATGTTCAGTTAAAACTGAACTATACATGTATTTAAGTTGTTGATATTCGAACCATCAGCATCTTCCTATATTCCCGTTTCCCTTGATTACGTGTAATTAATATCACATAGAAGATACCTCAAGGAGAAATATTCCAACTAGTATTTAACTAGCATTTACTGCTATATTCAGCTGTACTTTTATACAATCGTACAGTATGTCTTTTACTAATTAACAATTTGCAATTGCCAATGAGTGTATGAATAATTATAAATAAAGACCACAGGCACTTTATTAAAAAAAACAAACAAATTCCACACTACAATTTTTTATCAAAGAAAAAAATATTTTAAAAAACGTTAAGTGCCTATGGATGTGACAGTATACAATTCTCCGCTGGATCTGACAGGTACAAAGTTTTTTTTAATTAAACTCATAAGGGAAACTATTCCTCAAGACTTGCCAGAAGGAAAACATTTGATGAAAAAAAAACTATCCTCCATTATCCGTATCGGATAAGCAGTTTATTATACAAAATGTATACATATATATTACTTCCAAAGGACCTTTGCTCTTCTTAATAAATTTCTGACTTAAAGTCGTTTATTTACCGTATTTTCTGACAACGAATGGAGGAGGATCGCCCTCCCTTTCCCCAATATTTTCTCTCGCATCTTTTTCTACTTACATTAAAATATGCCTAAACTTAAGAGTAAAAAAGTAACGCATTTTGATGATCTAATTTTAATGTAACATCACCCTGCATCAAGACCTAATGCTTCCTAGTTATAAAGTAGTCCCCCCCCCCCTTTCCTGGAAAATCTAAACCCGTCCTTGATCTAGAGTATCAAGAGTGGTGAAAGGGCTTTATATCCGTTAAGATTATGTATGTGAAATGTTTCATCACTAGTGGGCGAATTTGTACATTTTTTTAAAAAAAGATATGGTTTTCATAAATTATGTTATTTGTGTCAATGAAACATGTATTACTGATGCTCCATGACCCTCATTTACTCGCAAATATTTCTCTACGCAAATTTTTTATGCCCCCGTAATCGAAGATTCGGGGGCATATAGTTTTTGCTCTGTCCGTCTGTCTGTTTAGCTGTCTGTCTGTTTGTCCGCAAAAACTCTAACCTTTCCCATAACATTTGATTGGTTAGAGCTATGGCTTTCATATTTCACTTGTGTATTCCTTGTGACAAGACCTTTATTTGGGAACCATCAAATTTGACGTTTTGACCTTAGAGTTTGACCTACTTTTACAAAATTTTATTAGACTTTAACTTTGGCCATAACTTTTAAATAGCTGGTGCTAGGGCTTTCAAACTGTACATGTGTATACCTTCTGACAAGAACTTCCTTCGGATACCAACTTTGACCGTTTAACCTTGATCTTGGAGATGACCTACTTTTGAAAAACTTTAACCTTAGCCATAACTTTTGAACAGTAGGTGCTAGGGCTTTCATTCTTCACATGTGTATTCCTTGTGACAAGACCTTCCTTTGTATACCAACAATTTTGGCCCTTTGACCTTGACCTTGGAGTTTGACCTACTTTTGAAAAAACTTTAACCTTGGTCATAACTTTTGAACAATTGGTGCTATATCTTTCAGACTTCACATGTGTGTTTCTTGTGACAAGACCTTCGTTTGGATACCAACATATTTGATCTTTTAACCTGGAGTTTGACTTTGCATATAAGAAACTTTAACCTTCGCCATAAGCTGCCAGACGGAGGGCATCAGTGTTTCAAAACACATCTTTTTTTTTATTTTGCATTTGTGTACATTTTTCTTATTCCCGAAAATTGATAATCTCAGTTTGCTTTCAAACTGACGAATCGCGCATAAAAGTTGTTGCGAATAATAGTGGTTTCATTAATGATTAGAAATCCGTTCGGTATGTACTGTCAGTATTGAATTGTATGCTAGTACATTATCAATCTTGAATGGCTAGTACATTATGTTATTTATGTAATATCAATATTGCATGGCTAGTACATTATGTAATTTATGTAATATCAGTATTGAATTGCTAGTACATTATGTAATTTATGTAATATCAGTATTGAATGGCTAGTACATTATGTAATTTATGTAATATCAGTATTGAATGGCTAGAACATTATGTAATTTTAGTACTCGAACTTACATTGATAAACTGATACAGTACTCCTGGCTACTAAAATATTCATGTAGCAATAGTGCAATGTTTACTCCGGAGAATTTTATCTAATAGACCAAATTCAGTTGTTTCAAAACTAATTTCGTTTATGTATGTGTCTTATATCTTTCAATGAAATGAAAGTATCTTTTGCTGGAGTTAGAATTAGAAAATTGATTTATCTCTTGTGAAATGAAATCCCTACAGTATACTGGGGGAGATTAGATACTGCGAGGATGTCTACGAAATAGATTTCTGCATATATCATATTTTTTCACTATGAATGTAATCTTTGAAGGTGTCCTGTCTTCTTCTTCATTTATCTGTTATAGATGGAGATCATTCCACTGGAATCAGGCATTGATTAGTAGAGCGATTTACTGGATTGGTCAGAAACAATAACTCCCCAATACACAAACAATGACAGCAATGAGAAACATCGGCAAGCGCTGCACCTTCTCTTGTTCCATCATAGTAAACAAATGGCCACTCGTAAACTCATTATCTACCTTGTTTCTTGTGTGATTGGAGCTTCATCTGCCTTACTTCTTAACACAGAACATGAATAATTCCAACTTTTCTGAGATTAACAATTCCAGTGAACACCTTCCGCATGAAGCACTGAGTTCCGAAGTCGCCGCGGTTTGTTATGCCGTCATATTTGTCTTGGCTCTCTTGGGCAATAGTCTGGTTATTGCCACCCTTGTCCAGAACAAGAGAATGCGGACAGTGACCAATGTGTTCTTGTTGAATCTGGCCATCAGTGATCTGCTCTTGGCACTTTTTTGTATGCCTTTCAATATCATTCCCATGCTCATGAGAAATTTTGTTTTTGGACCAACATTTTGTTATCTTTCACGATACTTTCAAGGTATGTATGTACATCTATATATAGCCGTAAGAAAATTATTAATATTGAATTTAAACGGGGAGATGTACCAATTTGTTTGATTTTCCCCCCAAATTTTTAATTTTTTAAATTAATATCACTAAATTTAACACGACCTCCCCCCCCCCCCCCCCCCGATTATCAAAGATGCCTGAAGCCATAGAATAATTCTTCCATCTTTTGTTAAGCTTTATCCAAGTCATTTACGAATTGCCCTTTTCTTGTGATAATATATTCAAGTCCGTCAGCAAATGGATGTCAACCTAAATTAATTCTGATTATCACGGGATAGACAAATCTTGAATCTGCTGTAGAATTTATGAAGTCATACCTCCCCAAGTTTGCACGTAGACAAATTACTTACTTTGATTAACATTCTATAGGACATTTGAGTTCCCTTGATTTTACTCTATATCAAATCTGTTTTTGTAGAGTGATATTCCGAATCTACAAAAACACAACTATAACCCTATTTTATTACTTTACTTTCTTTTTTTTCCTTTTAAGACGTTGCGCACGGTGTCAGAACATATTGACGTTATGTGAAAAAATTATGGTTTTAAAGTCATGACGTTGTTATAACTTCTAACCGTTATTATTCCAAATTTCAAATATTTAGCATGAATATTATCAAAACAAAATAGGACACAAAAATTTCATTGTTTATATCGTCTATTAAAAATATAAAAATGTTTTTTTCTTAATAATAATAAATCTTTTAAATAAATGTTTAGATTTTTATTTTATAGTACACAGGCACTCAACAGGATCTCAATAACCCTCATTCATATATCCCCTATTCCTCTTTTTTTTCTTTGTATCTCTGTCTTGTGGAGAGAGAAACAGTTCAAGAAGTTTCCGTTTCTCCCTCATTTTTTTTTTCAGCTTTTGCGAAAGCGAGATAGCATTAAATCTCATTCTTCCTTCAGTCTGTCTGTCTGTCACAAAAACTTTATTTTAACTGAGAAAAGCCAGGGCTTTCATATTTCATACATTACCTGCATGGCCGTAGGGACCGGGGGAGGGGGGTGCCCACCAATAATTTTGCCGATATATAAAATATAGAATACCATAGAAAACATAGCTACTTTTTGCTTGTGCCCCCTCAAAAATAACGCCTGATGGCCTTTTTTTTTTTTTTTTTTTTAAATTTTTTGCTTGTCAAGGAATTTTGGTACTTGATAGTATCCCCCCAACTGAAAATGTCTGGTTGTGCCCCCTCAAAGTGAAATTCCTTCCTACGGGCCTGACCTGTACATTGATTATAACTTTTGAATGAGAAGATAGCTAAAGGACATTCATATATGACATGTGCACTACCTGTGACACTTTTCCAAACATTCTATGATTTTTGACCCCATGACCGTGACCTTGAAGTTTGACACAATTTTCAAAAATGTTAACTTAACATAACCAAGATACATTAATGATTGGTATATCAATGTCATTAATTTATATATTTCAGATACATGTATTTATAAATGCATCTTTTTGTCTAGCCAACAATGTTTATTCATCACATACGAATGACCTACCCTTATGTCGAGTATGGCCTTTTTAATAGGTTTTTTCATTAATAAAAAGATATGGGGCATTTAAGGCTTACATTTCTAATCCGTGATGGTGACCCCCCCCCCCTCCCCCCCAAAAAAATGACTGTAGACAGAGACAGAGAGAACAAAAAAAACCCTTTCGGTCTGGGGGCATAAAAGTATTTAAAAACTACGATTAAGGATTTCCACAAACTGTCTCTCAAAAGGTCTTTATATCAAGCATTTAGGGAAAGCCTCGAGTTAAATGATATTTTGCACCAAAACTGAGAAATTAAATGAATGCATTCACTTGTATTCAAAAGTTGAATGTTTCAATTTTAGAAAATCAAGATTCTATTTATCGAATAGATGCCCAAAGCGATTCTTTTATATCATGGTCAACAGACTTGAATTCATTCCATGAACAAAACAGCGCTTAATTCCACAGCTGATGCCGTATAAAAGATAAAAAGAATACTTAAAAGTAACAAACGATTAATGTGGATTATTTTTGATAGATAATCTGCTCTGTTCGATAGAATCTTGTAGTTTATTGACAGTACGAAAGTGACTTTCTTTGGGTTGAAAATAGCCTAGGATTTCTGAGAACGAAAAGAATCACACAGGAATGACCTTTTGACAAGTATTTCTTCAAAACATCTTAACAACCGAGGGCATTATTTTAAAACTAGGATGTTTTAAAATAAATTGTTTAAAACAGGACCAATTCAATTAGGTTATGCTAATAACTTCTCGTTTGTCGTGATTTTTAAAAGTTGTTAATCTACACTAGCTTAGAAATATAAGAGCAATAGATGTAATGAAAAACATTCTGCGATATGACAAAAGTGGTTTAATTTGGATACGAAAGGCACCGTTCAAAAAGATCAAAGGACATTCCAACAAAAGGGGAAAAAAGCTCTAAATTACCCAATATTTTTTCAGTAGATAACATTCTCCTGCACATAAATGTTGTGTAATTTAAGTACAAGTTGTATGGACAATGGAATCAATGCGCAGTTAATGGATTTTCTTGAGTTACGATTACGAATAATATGCGGAGGGACCGAAAGTTGACGGCGCTTTAAAGGCGTTACAATAACAAAATTAGTCCTTCCGTGATATCACTCACATTTATCAAATGTTCCACAGATTTCCATCTAAATGGCTTTCAAGCATTGTCTTATAACGCCATGCCCCTATAAAAGACTGAAAATATACAACAAAGCGACATCAAACGATGACTACATTGCTAGCTTTTTGATAAGGAGGGAAACTTTGAGCACGTTTGTAAAGCATATTTTACGACTATTTTCCTCTCTTCTTGGAATCTGTGAGGAAAAAAATCCTCCGCTTTTTAAATTGAAATTATAACAAGCTCTAACAGAATATGGATATGAAAAATAAAATTAATGGAAATTCAGCATAATATACTTTACAGTGGGAGAGATATTTTCTATTACAAAAAAAACAAAAAAAAAACAAAAAAAAAACAGGGCTTTACTGAAATATATATATATATTAAAGAGATAATCTTTTTAAAGAATCACTCCTCTTTAAACATTTCTATGATGTGATGTTTGATGGAATTGATAGATAACTTCTTAATGGTGTAATGTTCTAAATTTTAAATTTACTGAGCGGGAATTAATACAACATTAAGAACAAATTGAAATCTAGGATATGACAAAAGATATTTTCTTATTAATATTTCCTTATTAATTGATATTTCTTATCAATAGGTATTTTCTTATTAGGCGTTTTCTTATTAGCAGATTTGTTTCTTATTAATGAATATTTTCTTATTATTAATAGACATTTTCTTGATAATTTTTCTTGATACGCTTGAATCCAGAGAATAATAGCATGCTTTCTTATTTCCTTTGATTAGCGTTGTTATTGAGCAGACAACAGAATTCATTTGCATGGTCAATAACAAACCGACAATCTTGTCAAGCCAATGTTATAGAAATCCCTAACCGTATAAGGCAATAAACAATAAACAAAAAGTAATTCCATCACGCATGGTAAAAATCTTCCTGTCAGATTTTGATCTAATACAATTTTAGCGACTGACGTTATCCCATAGTACCCATCTAATTTGGTGCAGCCGTTTAGTTGTCGTCGTAAAAATTCTAGATGGAATCCTATATCTGACAATATTAACATAAAACGTCAAAAGTACGATTTCGTTTTATGTAAACAAGGTGCCCTGAGATTTCTAGTTTTTTTTTCCTTTATTCCTCTGAATTCAATCTTTTTTCTTCCTTCCTTATTTGAATCGTAGTCAAATTAGTTAGATTGCTGAAAAGTAGATTAAGTCTTTTTTTTTGTAAATGCATGTGTAGTGACAAAATTGATGTCAACAGTGGAGACGGGGATGGGGATGGGGGGTGTGGTTCTCTCAGTCTGGCGACAAGTAAACAAAAAAAAAACCCCTAGCGTCACTCGACAATCCTTCATAGCAAATATTTTAACTAGCCATTATATTACTCTTTTTACCAAAAAATGTTCCGGGAGTATAGTCGGGGAATGGCTGTTTCTTCCAGAATAGTGATTTAGAATTTGACAAGCAAAAGAAAGCTCACTTTTTCCAAATATATATTTTTTTGGATTTTTTTTTTACAAATAAGGGAGGCACAAAGATACCCCTCCCCGCTTTCAAAAGTGGGATGCATAAGCTCCCTGCCACTCCCACCCTTTCCTGTGATTACATCAATATTACATTAAAATGGAATCTTAATATGGCTTCTTTTTACGGGAGTAATAATTCTAGACTTTTCCATTCATTTTTTTTTTCAGATTGTCTTAGAAAAAAAGGATGTATTTTTTTTTATTTACTAAGAAAGTTACGAGATGTTGAAAATAAATGATGTAAATTTATTGCAGGGGTATCGGTAGGGGTCAGTAGTTTTACCTTAGTCGCCATTTCGCTGGAGAGATACTTTGCCATTTGTCGTCCCTTACAGTCCAGAAAATGGCAGACTCTCTCCCACGCATACCGCAGCATCCTACTTATCTGGGGAATGGCGTTTGTGATCATGATTCCCATTCCAGTCCACACCAAGCATGAGAATAGGCGCCCTGGAATGTACACTTGCCGAGAGAAATGGGTTGCAGATATAGCGGAGCGGATCTACACGGTGGCGCTTGTGTTACTCCTACTGGTCATACCACTTATTGCAATGTCCGTGGCGTACGGTACTGTTACACACACTTTGTATGAGGACATAACAGTGCAAAAGGGAACAAATGGTAAAAAATGATTGTAGTATATTCATTAAATTGTGCCTGATGTTTAAACGAAAAATAGATTTTGAACGGATGGGGTGAACATAACATTTATTTTTTTAAATTTTTCATTTATTTATTTTTGGTTATTCATTAGGCCAAAGTTCTACATTAAAGACCTTCTATACACTAAAGTAAATATTTAGTAAACTTTGAGAAAATTATATTGTGCAAAGGTATAAATATTGTGCTTATCTATTTTATTTTCAACAAAGGGTTCCTCCCATTTATCTCCAGGAAAAATGTTCAAAGATAATGAAGTGATGAACAGAAACCACTGTTGATTACTTTAGAGTGGAAATACATGCAAAGTATTAAGTTAATTTATCTTGGCCTATTAAAATGTTTAGAATTTCGAATTTATTTTATTTGATCTAAGACAGATTCCTTTAAGTGTTACCACAAAATCAGAACTCTTTTGTGTGCAGTGTATAGAGGGTTCATAAATTAATTAGTTATAAAAAGTTATTTCACCTGCACCCGACTTTCAGTTGAACACAATTTTTTTTTCTAAATCTTTGGTGTTTCGTTGGGGCCACTCGCACCTTCGCACTCTCGCCTTTAGGGCGAAGATGCGAGAATGCGAAGTTCCAAAGGCGAAGAAGCGAAAGTGCGAAGATGCGAAGGCGAGAGTGCGAGGGTGCGAAGGCGAAGGAGCGATACTCAGGCCCGTAGGAAGCAATTTCAGTTTGGGGGGGCACAGCCAAACATTTTTCAGTTGACAGTTGAGGGGGCACTACCAAAAATTTTCTGAAAAGCAAAAAAAAAAAAAAAAAAAAAAAAAAGGTCATCAGGCGGTTTTATTGAGGGGGCACATGCTTATAGTATCTATGTTTACTAAGTAATCTATATATCGGCAAAATTATTGGGGGGGCACGGCCCCCCCGTGCCCCCCCCCCCCGGTTCCTACGGCCATGATACTAATATCGCACTTTCGCAATCGCAACTTCGCACTTTCGCCTTCGCATTTTACTACTGTGGAGCTCTTTATCGTTATGAGTTAACTTTAGTGGGCCCTTGAATGTTATTGGTACGCATGCGCTAGATTAGTGTGACGGCGCCAAAATGGATGTTAAGCAATGGTTGAAATCCATTGTACAATGACGGTTTTTACTAATGAATATACACTTGCTATTTTATGAAACGAGAAATAGTGTAATTGTCACCGGACACTCTAATTTAATATACAATGATAGATTATATAATGTAATGATGGTAAGTGATTGTTGTGACTGGTGCATGTGCTCGAGCAAAATTATAGATACTGTATATATGTAATCGTAGTGGTGGTGTGCACCACAGTCTCAACCTAAAGGACAAGGAACAGAATTAATATTTTATCATGATCCATAAACTGTAAAAAGTTTGATTTTGATACATCCTGGCGTAATATAAATTTGCATATTTGCAGTAGATATACTTCGATCTACATTGTAAGCATACGATAGAGAACTCCACAAAAAAAGGCGAAGGTGCGAGGGGGAAAATGCGAAGGCGAAGGAGCGATACTAGTATCGCGCCTTCGCACCCTCGCCCTCGCAACTTCGCGCTTCGCCGTCGCATCTTCGCTCCTTCGCCTTCGCAAGTTCGCATTCTGGCATCTTCGCCCTAAAGGCGAAGGTGCGAGTGGCCCCAACGGAACACCATATATATCGGACCAAAAACGGATCAAGTTCCTAATTAACAATTGTACAACTGGTTATGTTTGATTCTACTTCTCGCTCTGTGTTTGACTAGGACAAATGTAAACAATCAAGAACAATACCTTTCTGGATATGATACTCTTCGGATAGATGAACCCTCGTATTGACCTCAAAATATGAATAGTAAATATATGTATACATCCTAGAGGTTGATTTCAATCAAATTCAGTATACATATTCCATACTGAATGACAAATAAAGGATTATAGGTGAAGATAGGGAACAAGAATGAATCTCATAAAGCTTAAACAATACAGATGGTGAACAGGGATAATTAAAAAAACACGGAATCCCAGCAACATCAGAAATAGGATCAGGTGCCTAGGAGGAGTAAGCATTCCCTTTCAACAGATCACACCTATGCATGCTCAGGTCGAGTATCCATCGGCAAAATTAGTATAAAAAATGGCTTATCATTTTTTTTTTATAACATTTTGTATACTTTGTATGCATGTATATTTGAAAATATTTTATCCGCTAAACGTGAAATCTGGCGCTGCATCACCTCCACGTCACTCGTAAAAATCAAGTCGGGAACCGCAGGCACTTGAAGTTTTTAACAATACTTTTTATAAATCGTAAAAAAAAATCTTCCTACTGTAATAATTACAGTTTGGAGAATATTTTATTTATAAAAGCCATTTAAAAAAGACATGTTGAAAAAGGCAAGTGCCAGTGTCGGCAAGTGAAATAGAGGTAACAAACACTATAAAGTGTGTGATTTTCAATATTCCTGAATAAAGTCATTAATTTTGGTATTGATTTTGAAGTAGGATCAATGTTTCGTTAACAAATCATAAAAGCGCCTTATACAAACCTGTTTTATGATATCTCCTAGTTAAGTCCGTGCTTTTTTACATGCAAATAACTGGCATACAATTTAGCTCGCCTGGGCCACTGTTCAAGTAAGCTTCTCTGATCGATCCAATGTTTTACTTACGGGTCAGTGTGTAGCAAAAGACTCCTTTTTTTGACAATAGTGTGTGAGAAATATTTGATTATTAATTGTTGATTATTAAATTATTGATCGCTTCTACACAATATCTTGTGAATATTTGTTTCAAGTAGTGTTTTTCAGTGGGTCAGGAAAGGGCAGAATAATTAAACAAAAAAGCATACTAGTATAAGCACAGACAGTGAGACATCATTATTTCATAGATCGTTATTCAATTAGGCCAATTAGAATAATATTCAAGTAAAAGAGGGTAGCGGTGGTTGGAAATTGGCTTTGGGGGAAATTGTACTCGTATATTGGAGTAGGATTTCTCCCCGGAAAATTGAATCTGGCGTGGTATTTTTGTGGGAAAATCCTAATATTCTACTGTTATTTTCCGGGGGGGGGGGGTCTTACTGTAGAGTCTTTTTGTTGGGCATAGTCCTACTTTAATGTCATTTTTCCAATGTAAAGATTTTTAAAGGATATATCTTATCATTTATAACATTTTTTTTTTTTACATGTTCCATATATTACTTTTTATTAAATAAAGTCTGGGGCTGATGTAATAGTATAAATATTTAGTGTAACTTTCTGGATATATAACCATTTTATGTAAAATAAGTTAAATATTTAGTTAGTAGTTTGTCGTTAGACAGGTAATTTCTGTGACCATAAATACATCTTCTTTCCGGAAAGACAGCCATCTTTTTTTTTATTCGTTTACAATTTTTCCTCTATGATTTCATTTATCCAAAATTAGCTTAATTTGACTGAATTGCTCTACGAAAAATTGCTTTTAATACAGAAATATATTGAAATTGGTCAAACAGGTTAGATGCTTTTAATACAAAAATAGCAAAAAATGGTAAAGCGGATTTGATGCGTGCTTCATAATTCTAGATAATCTGCTAGGATCTTAGAGCAAATTACATATTCTTGCATGCTACCTAGAAAGTTCAATAAGGCAAACGATTTGTTCCGACAAGGTTTTTATTCTCACATCCTCCGTATTATAGATTGAATGGTATGACAAAAATTGCAATTAAGGAAATATGAATGCTTTCTTTGAAAGAAAAAAAAATCGGACCACAGAAATTAGCTGACGTAAAAATAATATTGCATTTGGACAAACTCTATTTCATTTCTTCATTTGTGATCATGTATTTGATTTTTCATCCCTTACATCTCCCTTCAACCAAACTTGGAATCGTGGATCCGCCTTTGATCTTTGGTTATGTAATGCAGCACAGTTTTGCTTTTTGCAGGTTTTTACAGAAGGCGTAACAGTGGCAGTATGCAGTCATTAGAAAATTCCAGCTTCAGAAACTTTTTGGGAAGTAGAGGCGGGGGCTTAAACAGTGGCGACTCAACGCCGCAAAGAAAACCAGAGCAACGGTGCATGATTCGGCATTCAAACCCTGAGCGCAGCCGCGCAGCCAAAGTACGCGTGATACGTATGTTGTTGGCGGTAGTGATAGAATATTTAATCTGTTGGACACCATTGTATGTTGTGCAAACTTGGAATTCCTTTCATTCGCAGAGTTTGAAGGAGTACTTTTCTAACCTAACTCTGTCTCTTGTCTTCATGCTGGCGTACATATCGTCTGCTTGTAATCCAGTCACTTACTGCTTGATGAACAAGAAATTCAGACAGTCTTTTCGAAGCGTTTTAAGTTGCTGTAACTGTTGTAGTTTACCAAATGTCAGTCGACATTTTTCCAATCGTAGTGATCAGTTTAATTCTCTAAAACTTCAGACGACACGCTGTAGTTTACTGAAGAATCACCACCAAGAACTGACGCAGGAACAGGTCTAAGTGTCACACATATTAAAGACCACCACCAAGAACTGACCCAGGAACAAGTCTTAGAGACATGTACACAATAAGAACCATCACCGAGTTCTGTCCCAGGAACAGGTCTTAGTGAAATGTACACAATAATAACTATCACCGAGTTCTGACCCAGGAACAGGTCTTAGTGACATGTACACAATAAGAACCACCACCAAGAACTGACCCAGGAACAGGTCTAAGTGCCACACACAGTATCCAGCACTGGAAATTGGAAATTTATCTATAGTGCCACTAAATGTTAGCAAGTGTGCCATCTTAACTAAAACTTGTCGAATGCTGGTAGTTACTCCGGAACATGTATAGTGCCAGTAATGTTAGCAACTGTGCCATCTTAACTAAAACTTGTCGAATGCTGGTAGTTACTCTGGAATATGTATAGTGCCAGTAATGTTAGCAACTGTGCCATCTTAACTAAAACTTGTCGAATGCTTGGAGTTACTCTGGAATATGTATAGTGCCACTAAATGTTAACAACAGAGCCATCTTAACAAGGAACCGCAAAGCAGAATATCCCCTCGCAAAAGAGTACATTTATGTTAGAGGCCTGTTTCTTACAACAAACTCGCCACTCATATAAAAAAAGCAAACAACTGTTAGTGAAAGGCAGTATCATACAAAATTCTTATCGACTGTCATTGACTCCAGGCCCCGGGCACATAAACGAGTTAGACGAGCTCACTTTTGATATCAGTCTCACTTTTACCAAAGGGATTAATAGTAGAAAAGTGAGACTAAATCAAAAGTAAGCTCATCTAAGTTTTATGGCCCTGGAGCCTGATTAATAGATATTATTTAACACGTATAAAACTGTACAATTCACGGCTTCTCAATGTAGCAATCACAAAACAAGCTTTACTTATTGATAAAAATACAATTCAATAAAAAATGAAAGCGAAAACCATATTCAAAAGGGTCTTTTTGTCTTCATAACTTAAGTCGGCCTAAGGAAGAACGTTTGGGCAGCTGGACAATAACGTTAAAATACCGAATCTTGGGAGGAGAGGGGTTATCGTTCGGTGATTGCAATACAAAAATTACGAAAAATAAATTAGAATAACAACAAATATTCAATTCAGGAAATGCCATTGTTCCCCATATAAGATAACTTCCGTTACGCACGCACTTACCCACATACTCAGAAGCGCGTTGCTATATCCTCTCCAACTTGTGGAGGAGCGCCACTAAATGTTAGCAACAGTGCCATCTTAGTTAAAATTTGCCTTATACTGGTAGTTACTCTAGGACACGTATTGTGGCAATGAATGTTAGCAACAGTGTCATCTTACTTCAAACTTGACTAATAATGGTAGTTACTCTGGGACACGTATAGTGGCATTAAACGTTAGCAACAGGCTCGTATTAACTAAAACTGTCTAATACTGGTAGTTACTCGAATAGCGCCACTAAATATTAGCAACAGTGTCATCTTAACTAAAACTTGTCTAATACTGGTAGTTACTCGAATAGGGCCACTAAATGTTAGCAACAGTGTCATCTTACTTCAAACTGGTCTAATACTGGTAGTTACTCGAATAGTTCCACTTAATGTTAGCAACAATGTCATCTTAACTAAAACTAGCCTAATACTGAAAGTTACTCTGGGACATGTATAGCGCCACTAAATGTTAGCAACAGAGTCATCTTAATTCAAACTTGTCTTGTACTGGTAGTAACTTTGGAACACATTATAATGGCACTAAATGTTAGCAATAGTGCCATCTTGACTCTTACGCCGTTTGAGGATATAATATTGCCATGTCCTCTCTCAGAACACAATATTCCTTGAGCATTGTAAAAACATTATGATAATTGATTTGGGACACAGATTCTCTGAATTAGTTTGTTTTTTCTTTGGATTTGCTTATAAGTATGGAATAAAGAACATCAAATTAGATACGCAGTCTCAAATGTATCAGAACGCTAATTAATGCTAAACTTTTTCCACCCTGACTCTGACTGTATTCATGGCTTCAGCGTCAGGGGGAGTGGGCTTAAAATGACAATATAGTGAAAATTCTTCAAAAATCTTCTCCCCCTGTATATTTAGGAGATAAACTAGGTGCATGATTATGATAAGCAATGGTTCCTCTTCCAAAACTGTGAAAATTGTGGCCCCAGGGTCAGGGGTTATGGTAGGGGAGTGCTCTATTGATAATACTTTTCTTTGAAAACTTTCTTTTCAGTTCTTTGGCATTAAGCAAAACAAACGAAATACATAGTTATAATGAGCAAGGGTGACTCTTCCAAAATTGTGAATTTCATGGCTCCCGGGTAGGGGGTTCTGGTGTTAGGGGCTCTATTGAATATATAGTAAAATTGCATTAATTCTTTGAAATCTTCTCTAGTTCTAGTTACTTAGTAGATAAACTAAGTGCGTGGTTATAATGAGCAAGGGTGCCTCCTCCAAAACTGTGAAATACATTGCCCCTGGGTCAGCGGCTCTTATGTAGCAAGAGGGGGAATGGCTCTATATGATATACCCGGTATAGTGAGGAAACATTATTTTTTTGACAATCTTCTTCTCTGCTCCTGGGTATTAAGCAGACAAATTAAGTGCAAAGTTATGATGAGCAAGGATGTCTCCTCCAAAATTGTGAAATACATGGCCCCTGGATCAGGGGTTCTTTGTGGTGGTGTTGGGGATGCTCTTGATTATATAGTGAAAATGCATTATTTCTTTGAAAATCTTCTTCTCTGCTCCTGGATATTAAGAAAACAAACTAATTTTATGGTAATGATGAGCAAGGGTGCCTATTCAAAAATTTTGAATTTCATTGCCCCAGGGTCAGGAGTTGGGGGGGGGGTCATGATCAAATGATAGTGAATTATATCTATGAAAATCATTTTTTCTTCTCTTAGGTATTAAGGTAAAAAGGAAAAAACTAACTGCATGGTAATGATGAGCAATGGCGCCTCTTCCAGCATAGCGAATTTCTTAGCCCCAGGGCCAGGGGTTCTGGTGTTAGGGCGCTGCTTTATTGATCATATAGTCAAAATACATTTATTCTTTGAAAATATTATTCTCTGCTCTTGGGTATTTGGTAATACCACTAAGTTGATGATTATGATAAGCAAGGGTTCTTCTTCCAAAATTGTGAAATTCATGGCCCCTGGATAAGGGGTTTGGGTGTTATGGCGGGCTCCATTGATAATATAGTAAACAAAAGACCGCGAAGGCCCTTTGCTTTTTTTTTAAATCAGGGAAAACGCTGAGGACACATAGCACAGGGGATAAAGAGTAAGTGATACCAGCTATTCGAATGGGTGATACCACCTATTCAACTGAGAATGGCCCGAATTCGCCTTGGGTCAATAAAAATGCAATTTTTCATGCTATAAAAATCGGGTTGTTCTTGGGACATTTTCCTTTATCGTGCATAACTTTCCAACACTGTTCCCCCTTGGTATCGAAAAGGAGGATATTTCTGTATCATAGCGTAAATTTAACTTTTTTATCAACCAAATATTATAGAATGTGGCTCCAATTAGTTTTACGAGTCTAGAGAGTCTTTGATCATTGACTGAATTTTGTTCATTAGTGGTATTGAAATCAACATCATCCTTTTTGAAGCAACGCTAAAAAATGAAATTGTTCGAAGAATGCGTCTTAACATTTCTTTCTTTGATTTGGCGATTGTCATATTTCTTTTTTTGATATATTTTTTGAAGGAGGGACTATTCATTATTTAGTATAATAAATGCAAATTAAACATCTCACTTATTCGAATAGTTGATATTACTATTCGAATGAATGATATCACCTATTCATTCTGAAAAGTGATATCACATTCGAATCTATATAATATAATGTATCACATATTCGAATGGGTGATATTACCAATTCAATTGAAAAAAAGGTATTATCAACCCTTCGTAATATTACCTATTTCCCCCGTATATAGCGTATTCTTATGTAAAACTTTTATCCCTGGTGCCAAAAAATAAATAAATTTGAATCTACACTGCCTAAGGATGCTTTCATATAAATATGACAATCATGGCTTTGCTGTTCTTAAGAAGATTTTAAATATGCCTATGTAAAAATTTTATCGCCCATTGCGGCCCCATCCTTCCCGGGGGTCATGATTTGAACAAACTTGAATCTACACTACTTGAACATGCTTTCATAAAAATATGACTTATCATGCCTTTGTTGTTCTTGAGAAGATCATAATCGAAGATTAATCCTCAATAATCAAACAATCAATCAATATACCTATTTTTTAGTGTCACTTGCCCCGATAGAAAAATAATTAGAATTCTAGCACCTGCACGTTTTGTCGAACATTGGTTAAAATCCATTTCCCAAATCCATTTCTTTTCTCTCTAAATTTTATCAAAATCCACAACTTTCTGAGAATCCTGTAGATAGAACGATCAAGAGATGGACAGACACGACCTTCCCATTTCGATCGCAGGGTAAATATAGGATTAACTATTCCACTGTCTGATAAGCTTTGTAAAATGTTACCTTTTCTTGAAAGGAGTTTTTTTTGGGGGGTTGGGGGGTTGGGGTTAAATCCTTAAACCAAAGACAGGAAAAATGGACAAACATACCAGTCAGAAGAGTAAAATTTTAGTTTCTCAGTATACTATTATATATTTAATTCTACAGCATTCATCAACAAACACAATTTATCAGCAAACTGAAAAAACACTCCTAAAATAATATTGAGTCAATATACAGAAGACATGTTCATCTTCTTTTCGATTTCAGCAATTTTTTTCAAATTAATTACACGTCTCAAAGAAATACCATCAAGATACGTATCGAAAACAACATGCTGCTTGTTACATCAACCTGGATCTTGATGTAAGAATTTTAATGTATACATAAAACGCACCCCTACATCAAACACTCAGATACCGGGCTCTATGGGACTCCCTTTATCCTCTCAGACTTCCTTACTGATCTACTGATTAACTTAATACACAGGTGTTTAGAATTTTGACACATCAACGTTTTTATAACCTACTCAGTCTTGCTCATCGGGATGTACACTTTCGATTTCTTGTAAAGATTTTTTAGACAAATAAACTGATAAAGATAGAAAAATAAACATCCAATTTATAGTAAAGAGGATATTCATATAATTCAAAATAAATTTATTATGGGTAGCACTGTCTTGAGAGAAATCCCTCCCCCCTAGCCTTGTTACAATATAACGTCTAACATTCACAATTTTCCTTCTTAAAGCTGAACACGACTCGTAAATAGGCATACGCCATTTTCGATAATACTCTTGTCATTCGTTACACCTGACTGATTTATCATACCTCTACTGTTTTTTTCCCTATATAACATTAGATCGTTAAAGGTGCTTGGACACAGATTTGAACTTCATATTTTCTCAAATTTTCTGTATAATTTCATGACTTATATGTTGCTATAGCATTTCATACTAAAATATAATAAAAGTCTTATTTCATCTCGGAGTTATTAAAACTTCGAATTTCTGGACGCGTTGGATTGACACATCCTTGCGCTTTCACATATTTTAATTTTACTCTTAATACTTAAGAAAAGTGGCAATTTTGTTGTGTATTAATGAAAAATATTAAAACTATAACCCAGAAAATTCAGAATAGAAATGTTCGAAAGCAAAACCCACTCACAGTATTGTAAGTCCGTGCTCAGTGGTGTGTGCAGAGTTTAACAATTGAACACACCCAGTGAATCGTAAACATTAACAATAACAGAGCTCGTGCCCTGTTTACAAAAACAGTTAACGTTTCACGGGTGTGTTCAATTTGTTAAACTCTGTACACATCACAGAGCACGGACTGACAAAACTGGCGAGTTGGTTTTGCTTTCGAACATTTCTACTCTGAATTTCCTGGATTATAGATGTAATATTTTTCATTAATACATAACAAAATCGCTTCTTTTCTTAAATGTTAAGGATAAATTAAAAATCTGTGTAAGTGCAAAGACGTGTTAATCAAACGCATCCCGGAATTCGTAGTTCCAATAATTTCCAGATAAAATAAGTTTTTTAATTATATTTTCGTGTGAAATGCTATTGCAATATATAAGTCGTGATATCATACAGAAAATTTGAGAAAATATTAAGTTCAAATCTGTGTCTAAGCACCTTTAAATGTGACTAATTCCCTAGAAATTGTTATGAATGGACTAATCCCCGTGCGTTAGTCAAGTGAGCTAATCTCTGCATCAAAAGCTAATTTCCGGTTATCCGTAATCCTCTAGATTTTACTTTTACTTTGGTATGACATGTGAATGGACTAATCCCCGTGTGTTAGTTCAGTGAGCTAATCCCTCCTATGAAATCACGCTATCTGAATCCTCTAAATTTTATGTTTGTATCGGTATAATAAAACAGTTAAAAGTATATCATTGCGGGAGTTGGCAAGATTCCAGTTGCTACACAGTACTCAGTAGCGACTGTGTACTTCGTCTACGACAGGAGAGTAAGATACCAAAGAAACTTACAACAGTTGCAGTATACAAACAAACACAAATACAAGTAAGTGCAATAAATTAAAGAAACAAAGGCAATGCAAGATAACCAGCAAGAACACGTGTCGCCATTCCACGCCGATACAAAAAAGCAGTCAGGTGTAACGAATGCCAAGGGTACATCCCGCTGCTGATATCGTAGATTTTTTGTTTTGTTTGTTGTTTAACGTCCCTCTCGAGAATTTTTCACTCATATGGAGACGCCACCACTTGCCGGTGGAGGGCTACAAATTTTGACCTATACTCGGAACTGAGGGCCATTGAGCAGTGAGGGATATTTTTCGTGTCAGCACCTACTGCAACACGGGGCCTCGGTTTATACGGTCTCATCCGAAAGACCGGTCCCCACGTCCCGCAGTGGGATTCGAACCCGCGACTTAAGGATCAACTCCTTACTCCGCGACTCTAGAGCAGAAGCTCTAACCACTGCGCCACGCGGGCGACTTGATATCGTAGAAAGTATAATCGAATATGGCGTTTGCCTATTTACGAGTTGTGTTCAGCTTTAAAATGGTAGTAACGTTTGCCTAAGCTATGCATATGATTTATATTACATAATATGAAACAGTAGAAATTATAAAAGATGTGGCAAAATAAAGGCTGTAAAATAACACCCCGTTTTTCTGTTGCAGGCACGGATCCAGGAATTTTATCCAAAGGGGGGGGGGGGGTTCCACCCCCCAGTCAAAAAAATTCCAACCCAAAAATTTCTTGACAAGCAAAAAAAAAGTAAATTCCATTTCAAAATCTGAAAAACACCTATTTCGTGGTGGCGATGGTGGGGTCCATATTTTCTAGGGGGGTCTAAAGTCATTTTTTATTTGCTTCAGAATGTACTTTTAATAACTGCAAATTCCGGGGGGGGGGGGGTCCGGATCCCCCCTCGACCCCCCCTTCTAGATCCGCGATGTGTTGGTCAATTTTTTTTGTCCCTTAGAAAACAAGAGGCCCAGGGGCCACATCGCTCACCTGCACACTGTGGCTAGGAAAAAAGCAAAAATCAGTTTAGTATTGAAAAGCCTTTGTCTGTATACTCCTATGTTAAACTTTGATCGTCCATTGTGACTCAACCCTACCCCTGGGGGTCATGATTTGAACAGACTTGAATCTACACCTTCTGCAGATGCTTTCATATAAATATGACCAATCATGGCTTTGCTGTTCTTGAGAAAAAGAATTTTTAAGATTTTTCCTATATACCCCTGCGTTAAACTTTAATCGTCCATTGTGGCCCCACCCTACCTCCAGGGGTCATGATTTGAACTCGATTCTACACCACATGAGGATGCTTCCATATAAATATAACCAATCAATGCTTTGCTGTTCTTAAGAAGAAGATTTTTCCTATATATTCCTATGTTAAACTTTGATCGTCCATTGTGGCCCCAACCTACCCCTGGGGCCCATGGATCATGATTTGAACAAATTTGAATCTACACATAAGTTTCATCTTTCCTGGCCCAATAGTTCTTGAGAAGAAGATTTTTCAATGATGCAATTAATTTTTCACTAATTCATAATTATCACCCCTTGGAGGAGGGTGTGGCCCTTCATTTGAACAAACCTGAATCCCCTTCACCCATGGATACTCTTTGCCAAGTTTGGTTGAAATTGGCCCAGTAGTTCTGGAGAAGAAGATGAAAATGTGAAAAGTTCACATCGACAACGCCGACAACGAAAGACAACAGACAACTTTTTGATCAGAAAAGCTCACTTGAGCCTTAAGCTCAGGTGAGCAAAAAATATTTATTCACACTTCTAGAATGGGTTGTTGGGGAGGGAGGGGGTCAAGACCTTGGATTTTCAGAGTTAATAAATTCTTTAATGAGTAAAGTAACCTTGGACACTTCCAGGAAACATGAACCCTTCTCAAGTGCGGAAAAAAGATATATGAAATATAAAACTTGCCCATGATATGAAGTGTCTGGGGCACAGTCTAGCACCCCCCCCCCCCACACACACACACACCCACACACATTTTTTATTCCTTGAAACACCAACAATATCATATTTTGTCCCAGTTAAACTATAAACCACTGAGTAATATTGATAACATCAAATTATTTTAAGGCTATCTTTCTTTTGTTAAATTAGCTCACCTGACCCAAAGGCTCAAGTGAGCTTTTCTGACCAAAATTTGTCCGTTGTCTGTCATCGTTGTCATTAACTTTTCACAATTTCATCTTCTTCTTCTTTTGATCAAACTTGCAAAAAAACATCCTTGGGTGAAGGGGATTCAACGACCATGCCCTCTTTCAAGGGGATAATTAAGAAATAGTGATACAATGTAATTTGGTGGCATGTTTTAAAAATCTTCATCTCAAGAACCACTGGGCCAGGAAAGATCAAATTTATGTGGAAACATCCTCATGTAGTGTAGATTCAAGGTTGTTCAAACCACGACTCCCGGGGTTGGGACGGGGCCACAATGGATGATCAAAGTTTTACATAGGAATACACAGGAAATATCTTTAAAAATCTTCTTTTCAATAACAGCAAAGCCAGGAAAGATGAAACTTATGTGGAAACATCCTCAGGTAATGTAAACTCATGTTTGTTCAAATCATGACCCCTGGGGTTGGGGCAGGGCCACAATGGATGATCACAATTTTACATAAGAATACACAGGAAAAATCTTTAAAAATATTCTTTTCAATAACAGCAATGCCAGGAAAGAAGAAACTTATGTGGAAACGTAAACTCAAATTTGTTCAAATCATGACCCTCAGGGGTAGGGTGGGGCCACAATGGATGATCAAAGTCTTATATAGAAATTCATAGGTAAAATCTTTAAAAAATCATCTTCTCAAGAACAGCAGAGCCATGATTAAACATATTTTTATGGAAGCATCCTCAGGTAGTGTAGATTTAAGTTTGTTCAAATCATGATCCCAGGGTAAGGTGGGGTTACAATGGACGATCAAAGGTTTACATAGATATACATAGGAAAAATCTTTCAAAAACTTCTTCTCAAGAACAGCAAATATTATGTACTCTGAGGGTAGGATGTTGCCACAATAGTTAAGCCATGATTTGTCAAAGAAATATGGAAGCAGCCTCAGTTAGTGTAGATTTAAGTTTGTTCAAATTGTCCCCCTCCCCTTAAAGGTAGGTTGATACCACTTATAAAATACTGGACTCCTAACCAAATGCCCAGGTGAGCAATGTGGCCTATGGGTCTCTTGTTAGTCATATTGATATACATGTATGACCTCGATCTAATAAAGCAATACCAATTCAACTGAGACTTTAAAGCAATGTCTACATGTAGCCTTTATTATGCTGATTTACAACCAACATGAGGTGCCCTTTTTATTTCCAATTGGTAAAAAAAGCACCGGTAACTTTTATAATTGTTTAGCATAAATGAATGTCCCATTAATTGGCATGATACCAGTTTATGGTTCTTGGTATTATATCAGAAAAATCAATATTAATTCTGCTGTTTACATGTATCTTGTGCATTTAAAAAATGCTTTTTCTGAAATTTTGAACCAGTAATCATGTATAAATCTTGCACCAAATTTTCTATCTGTCATTTTAAAAAAAAAATGGAATTCTAGAAATGGTGGGAAAAAAGTGAATTCCATAAAACTTAAGTATTTAACAACTAACTTTAATATTGTATAAATTAAATTATTAAAATTTATAACACAAACTGATGTCACTGTTAACAAAGCCCATTAAAAAATCTGAACACATGCAATTCATGTACTAAATAGTGCAAGTTTCTTCAAATCCCTCAAGAGGCAAGTCACTTATAGATTCACAGAACAATCAATCTTTAACTGTATGACAGACACATTGGCCACTAGGTCCAAACGATGTCAAGGTTCTGAGAGAATGTCTAAGTTTGGATGCTGGTCAATCTTATGATCCTTTAGGTTGTTTTATTTCCTCACATTTTCTTGATTTTCGTGTTCTCTTTTCAATTGGAATAACTGCATCAGGGTTGAAAAGATAATTTGGCCTCTTGTGAGTTTCTTCTCTGATATTCATTCCTGAAAGAGTCAGAAAGACATATATTAGTAGTTATATAAGCATATCTACACTTTATCATTCTGTTATGAGTGAGTCTATTTAAGGAATGAATTTAATAGCTACCCAAGTTACACTTTATAACCTGGGTTGGGGCACTTTACGCTTTATAAACTGTGAAGCACTTTATAAACAAGATGTGTTTGTGAAACACTGATGCCCCCGTAAGGCAGCTTATGGCGAAGGTTAAAGTTTCTCAAATGCAAGTCAATATCCAGGCCAAAAGATAAAAAAAATGTTAAATTTGAAAGCCCTAGCTGCAACTGTTCAAAAGTTATGGCAAAGGTTAAAGTTTTTTAAAAGTAAGTAAAAGTCAACGTCAAAGTTGTTGGTATCCAAAGGAAGGTCTTGACACAAGGATTACATATGTGAAGTATGAAAGCCCTAGCACTAACCATTCAAAAAATAATGGCCAAGGTTAAAGTTTTTCAAAAGCAGGTCAAACTCCTATGTCAAGGTCAATGGGTCAAAGTGGTTGGTATCCAAAGGAAGGTAATGTCACAAGGATTACATATGTGAAGTATGAAAGCCCTAGCACCAACCATTCAAAAATTATGGCCAAGGTTAAAGTTTTTCAAAAGTTGGTCAAACTCCTAGGTCAAGGTCAAAAGGTCAAAGTGATTGGTATCCAAAGGAAGGTCTTGTCACAAGGATCACATATGTGAAGTATGAAAGCCTTAGCTCTAACCGTTCAAAAGTTATGGCCAAGGTTAAAGTTTTTCAAAAGTAGGTCAAACTCCAAGGTTAAGGTCAAAAGGTCAAAGTTGTTGGTATCCAAAGGAAGGCCCTGTCACAAAGAATACATATGTGAAGTTTGAAATCCCAAGCCACAACTGTTCAGAAGTTATGGCCAAGGTTAAAGTCTCATAAAATTTTGCAAAAGTGGGTCAAACTCCAAGGTCAAGGTCAAATATAATGGTACCCAAAGAAAGATCTTGTCACAAGGAATACACATGTGAAATATAAAAGTCATAGCTCCAACCAATCAAAAGTTATGGGCAAGGTGAAAGTTGACAACAGACAGACAGACAAACAGATAAACAGACAAACAGACAGACAGGACGAAAACAATATACCCCCGGGATCTTTCGATCCAGGGGGGCATAAAAAGTGTCAACTGTTCCAACCCAGGTTATACCAGTATAACTTGAGTAGCTATTAAATTCATTTCTTATAATTTAATTTTCCATCATTAAGTATAGAAAATAAACAACTTCTCCTTCAAAAATGCCTTCAAATTGTACATATTTTAAATGTGATGTCAAGCGGATTGATACCTTTTTGAAGTAAGTTGTGACGTAGGTAACACAGGTAATGAGATATAAACTAATTTTTTTATCCAATCAAATGATGCGTTACAACCAAAATTAAATTATAATACAAATAAACTTCTAAACTAAGTAATGCAACTGTATAAGAAACCTTTCATTAATCAAGTTGAAAAATTGTTTTTCTTCATGAAATTGATTTACTGCAGCCTATTTAATAAACAATGGTCAAAGCTAAGTTATTTTATATATAGATATTACATATCTGTTGTAACTAATATAATTGAGACTTGATTTATCTAAGCTGATGACCCAATAAGTTGCAGTCTTCATAAAAATACAAAGGTTTGATGCCTTTGACTACCAAATATTGGTCTGGACTAGTAAAATATAGCATTTGCCTTGAAGGCTATTAAAAAATTAAAACATTTAAAATCATTCATATAAAAATCAATGAATTAATGCAGCAATAATAGGCCAGTATTTTATTTAATTATCCTTCTATTTTACATAGGATACTCAGAAAAGGTTCCAACAAATAATATTCACCAGCATTTTTTTTACAAGGTAAAAATACTGTTTTCCAACAAAGTTTTTGTTATTAATGAAGACAAACTTGTGGGAGAATTTGTTTTGCTGTGTCATTTGGAAGAAATGATACATTTGACTATATTTGAGGGAATCTGTTGATAATGAATATATGTAACCCCCCCCCCCCCCCAAAAAAAAATTTTTTTTTATCTTTTTCACAATTTCTGATCTCTGTTTGGTGTTACCTACTAATTTTTACGTCTGTAGACTGAAAAATTAAAAATTGCTGGCCTATTTGATTTTTAAGGGTGAGAACTCTTACTAAATGTTTTTTCATCTACTTTTTCCAGTTGAACAAGCTGTGTTCTCATCACCATCTCCACTTCCTCTGCTGTCTTATATAACTAGAATTTAAGAAAAAAAAAAGGCACAGTGATTCGTGCAGTGTAATTACCAAATTTATGCTATATCTCATCCTCGCAATGCCAGGGGTCTTGAATCAAAACATTGCCATGGGACCCCTGGCCAATTTCATTCAATTTTTCCTGGGCTGACTGTAGCGATGTCTTTCAGAAAAATTACAAATCTTGATTGCTTTTCTTATCTCTCAAACAATCAAATTAAGCCATTCTATGATAAAAAAAACTTTTAACATGTGCATTTGAGGTGTCAAAATCCTTTCTGTTTACATTATATAATTATTTATGAAAGCTTTAATTTGATTGGTGCTTCTTACTGAGAGAACCCATTGGATGCCTCTCAGCGACCGGTAGAGAAAACCAGAATCCTTACACCCATATCAATTGAAATTGGCCAGGGGTCCCACAGCTCTTGACTTGAAGGACCCCTGGCATTGCAAGGATGGGTATATCTGTTTTCATAAAATCATGCTGAAGTGGAATAGAGATATACTGAGGCAAATGTTTTTACCCAGCTTCTAAGTACAAAAAAAATAATAAATACTGAAAAAATAGTGCTATCTGAAATTTGTGGTATAATTCATATTTTTTTTTTTGCATTTAATGGCTGAATCTTGAGAATTTCAAACCTTAGATATTTCTTCTTCACTTGTCACATTTCTGTTCTCTCTGAAACCATTATTTATCCTCTCCCTGCAAACTACGGTAAAATATCTAAGATAGAATTTGTTCCCATTCACTAGGTAACGATTAGATATGGTCAGGCCTGCTTAGATGATAAGATACAGTCTGTGTTATGATATTATCTGATACATACCTTTCAGTCCTAAGTCATCATTCTTAAAAGCTCTTTGTCTTACTCGGTGTAGTTTCTTGAAGATTGAAAGAATCTAAAATAAGAAACAATAAAGCATCATCATTTTACTGAAATAACTACAGATGTCTTAACATGACAATACACTCAGTGGATACAATGAATACTGAACTTACTAGAAGAATCTATTTATCTGACCTTCTGACCTTAGTTAGCCAGGTCCATATTTAAAAACCCTCTGGTCATCAGCTATTTTGTGTTGTGTACAGATTGTGTAATCCCAAAATTTCTATCATGGCCAATGATATGTTAAGCAACCTTTCTGTCAAGTATGAGTTTTCACAACCTTTGAGACTGGCAAGTTTAAATTCCAAGGAATAATGTAGCACTGAATTTAACAGGATAGCATATTAAGAAAATATTTCACACCAGACAAGAATATAAACGCAGGTCAACTGACACACCACTTAGTAGTATCTCTAATGACTAAGCTACCATATAGCAGGTTTCTTTGGCGTGTGTAAAATTTGCTTCTTCAAAGGTATGCCAATAATTTTGGCAGAACTTTTTTTGGCAGACACAGAGTTCCATAACATTACTAAAGAGAGGAAATTCACATTTTACATGAATTTCAGTAGGTTTAATATACGTTTGAATACCTATTTTTGCATGAGTTTAAGTAAAAACCAATACCTGATGAAATATATAACATTTAACAACAGACTGATCAAGGTTATTTTTCTTGTCCAAGATCCCTTGTCATGGTAGGTGTTGGCACGATAAAGTACCCTCACTACTCAAAGACCCTGAGTGCCGAGTATAGGTCTAAATTTGAAGCCCTTCATCGGCATACGGTGATGTCTCTATATGAGTGAAAAATTCTCAAATGGATGATTAACAACGTTGTCAATCCATTTCATTTTGTGTCATGACTTTCCCTGGAAGTGACAGGTGTAAGACCTGCCAGGTAAGATTCACCTTGGATCAGTGTCTTTGGGGAGAACAACATTTAAGAAGGGATGGATCTGACAATCATGACAAGGTGGATTCAATAGCTGGTGACATATTTTGTAGAGCACTTATCTAACGTTCAGAGGATCCAGGTTCGAATCTTAGGCTGCTCCGACGCATTGTCTGACAGTCTCAATATTTATTCCTGTAACAATACCACTAACTAAAATATTCTGTGACCCAGTCAAGAGATGGATCACTGTATAAAAGAGATAAAGTATGTTAAGTCTACATAACGTTACAAATAACGTTACAAGTTGTGATTTAGATGTATTTTTTCAATATTTTAGTTGTTGGTTTTTTTTTATCTTTCCAGGAAAATCGTTATGTATATGGTTTCGTCAGAGACTCTTGTACGTCATCGTCGGATACCCACGGGTGATCTCGTCTTTGACTCATCGGAGTGATGAAAAAAAGACGAGATGACCCGTGGGTATCCGACGATGCTTGTACGTCTATGGTTCCATTGGGTTGATATTGTGACAATTTAGCCTTCACGATGTCGATTGTTTAACAGAAGAGAACACTGAATGGAACATATTGTATTTTTTACAATGGATTATATTGCAATTTTTTACTGAGATCATACTACAAACCTGTGACCGTGTTACCGTTTGTGCCATCGCAGCCATGATTGTTTACGAAAAGACGACCTTTACTATCTTCTGAGAATGAAGAGCTAGCATTGGAAACTACAAAAATCACCTAAAAATCTTTTTAAAAAATAATAGTAATAATAAAAAGACAAGAAGAATTGATAACGCATAAACATCAGTGGGCAACGTCTCAAAGTTATGGTCGGTGTCCGCATGTGTAGCTCACTCCGTTAACGGTTTGGAAAAAAAATCGTACACAGTATTTCAGAGGAAAAAAAAGGGGGGGGGGGGTATTTTAACTATTTATTTATTATTCTCAGTTGAGAAGTTAAGGTTACGAGCCGTCATTTTCTCAATAGAGAATAAATAAATATTTATTGATTGATTTATTTTATTTTATTTTACTCTATTTTATTTTATTTTGTGTAAATACTGTACGTTAACTAGCATTGGGGGTTCAGACCCCGTCCTACCCCGAATACCAGAATAGAACCAAATACACATTTTTAAGTTGAAGAGGCATTTTATTGATTTTTTTTTTTTTTTTTGCCTCAAATGGTATTTCATTTAAAATCTCAACTTTCTGAAAATTTCAGAATAGTGAATTTTTTTAAATAAGCGATACAATCAATGCTCTGAACAAAAAAATATTTGAGAACATAGCATCATCCTGTTTTCCAATAATCCGTTAATCATTGATCTTGAATTTTACAAATCGACCTTGGGATAAATTTGTGACGTATGGTAGAAGTAAAAAAAAAGTCAGTGTGAAGATAGCGGACAGTATTCAAAGTCATAAATCCTGTAAAGAATATGAACAGGGCAAAAAAACTTACCCCTGGAAACCCCGTAGGTGGGATCAGGTGCCTAGGAGGAGTAAGCATTCCCTGTCGTCCGTCTCACTGTCGAGAGCCCTTTGTATTGATCAAGTAACTTGGTCTAAATGGTATTAAAAAGTAGTTGGGAAACATGTTTGTCAAAATACAACCCAACGATATGTTGTATTTGCAAACAAAGTCATTATAACCACCCTAGTATTTGCGGAATGCTGACTTTAAACGTGATGGTTGAAAGCCCCGTAACATCAACTTGTTTGTCAACAACCTGTCTTAGTATAAAATTGACGTACTCAGAACGTGCTCTTGAATTTGATTAGTAAACTCTGAGACCCCAAGATGTATCAACTGACAAAGCTTGATGATTCTAAACCTCTTATTATTTGCGTAATTTAGATATCGATTTTAACTCCAAAAGTAGGTCATAGTAACCTACTTTTTAGTTGACACATTCTCAGGACCCAACTGACAAAGTTTGATAATTCTTAGCCAACTTGCTTCAGAAATATTGAAATATAACCGTAAAATTCCAAAAGTAGGTCACAGTGACCTACTGTTTGGTTAACACACTCCCAGGACCCAAGATGCATCAACTTTCAAGTTTGATGATTCTAAGCCAATTAGTATCTGAAATAGCCATCACATTCCAAAAGTAGGTCACAGTGACCTACTCTTTGGTTGGCATACTCCAAGTACCCAAATGCATCAACTGACAAAGTTTGATGATTCTAAGCAAATTAGAATCTGAAATAGCTATAAATTATCAAAAGTAGATCACGGTGACCTATTTTTGGTTGACCTACTTTTTTAGGACCCAAGAAGCATCAACTGACAGAGTTTGATTATTCTAAGCCAATCAGTATCTGTAATAGTAGGTTAAGGTCACCTACGTTTTGGTTGATACATCCGAGGACCTGTTAAATTCATAAAGTAGGTCACTGTGTCCTACTTTTTGATAAATATAATTAGCCATAAAATTCGGAAAGTAGGTCACGGTGGCCTACTTTTTGATTGACACACTGCAAGGTCCCATGATGCATAAACTGACAAGTTTTGACGATTATAGGCTTCAAAGTGTCCAAGTTACGCATCAAAATCAAACTGAAAATGAATACCTGCAAAATTCAAAAAGTAGGTCCTTGTGACCTACTTTGAATCAACATGATATAAGGTTTCAAGATGCATCACTGACAAGATTTCATGATCCTAGGCCTTATAGTGGGCAATGTATCAAAGTTTTAACAAAACATAATTTTTAGTCAGCTTTGAAGTGACCTTAAGACCAAGTCCTTTGCCCCAGGGTGATGTCTGCCCTTAAACAATTTTTAATCTACAACATATCCTCATCTTTGTATGCTAATCTGCCCAGTGGTTCTTGAGAAGATTTTTAGCAACCACTACTTTTGTTTTTATTTCCCTAATTATCTCCCCCTTTTTAAGGGTCACATCCCTATTTATAATTTAAAAGAAGGCCCTTGAACTAAGGATGCCCTGTGACAAGATTGACAAAAATTCTTGAGATATGGCCCATATTAAAAAAAACTCGACGCACACCGCACAATTGACCATAGAATTATCTCTTTAAGCCTTTTGCTCAGAAGCGCTAATAATAAAATGTCTTTCTTTCTTTGTTGATACGGGAAATAAAATTGCAGCTTTTGCAGAAAAAAATATTTCCGTGATGTAGGCACGCATCAGGAGGGGGGAAGGCAAGGGGGGCTACTTTTTTTCCAAGCATGACCTTTTACCGTTGTAAATGTTCAATGAAAGGCTGGTTGCCCTCCTCCCCCCAACATTTGCTGCAGTATAGTCAATTCAGGGTAATTTGGTAATGTATGAATAAAATTTAGTTATGAAAGAAGTTGGACCCGCCCCCCCCCCCCCCCCCCCCCCAAACATAACCTTTTATGATTGAAAATGCTTGTTGAAATTGAATTGAATCGAAAGCCGTACATTTTCTTCTTCTCATGTAGAAATTTTTGAACAAATTGTGCTGCATAATACATGTATATGAAAAACGGAACACAATTAGTGCCCTTTCTTATTCCAGATTGTTGGAAGACCTGGTCTCTAAATTGTCAATGAGGAACTCCGGCATCAACTTCAGGGTACTTGTGTGTAGAATCAGAATGATTTTTAACAATGTTGTAGATGACCAATTTACGAGTGTCATTTTTAGCTCATCTGAGCTGAAAGCTCAAGTGAGCTTTTCTGATCACCCGTTGTCCGTCGTCCGTCCGTCTGTAAAATTTTCACATTTTCAACTTCTTCTCAAGAACCACTGGCCACAATAGGAAATACAAGTTTTACATTGAAATATATAGGAAAAATCTTTAAAAATCTTCTTCTGAAGAACCACTGAGCCAGAAAAGCTGAAACTTATGTGGAAGCATCCTGGGGTAGTGTAGATTCTAAATTGTCAAATCATGACCCCCGGGGTAGGGCGAGGCCACAATAGGGAATACAAGTTTTACATTGAAATATATAGGAAAAATCTTTAAAAATCTTCTTCTGAAGAACCACTGAGCCAGAAAAGCTGAAACTTATATGGAAGCATCCTCGGGTAGTGTAGATTCTAAATTGTTCAAATCATGCCCCCCCCCCCCCCGGGGAAGGGCGGGGCCACAATAGGTATTACAAAGGGGGAAGTCTGGTAATGAACAGCATGGCAAAAGTTACTCAGGTGAGCGATGTGGCCCATGGGCCTCTTGTTATTGAAGTAGTTGTCTTTAATGTCAAAAAGCCTGCTCTTTAATTTATCATGAAGAATGGTTGTATAAAGCATTGAAAAGAAATACGTTTTGGTGCTATTGACTGTTGAAAAATTTGATTTTATTTTCCAAAAGTTCTTTGGAGTTTTTGAGAATCCACATTTCATTTACATGTTGTACAGTATCACGTCACGTCTGAAGTTTCTCCTTCACAGCAGTTTATATTTTGATGAGGAGTAAAGATAGGGGCTTAGTTGAACACTTATTGCAAAAGAAGCTGATATTTTCGTGTGTATAAAATTTTCTGGGTAAAATTTTCATTAAGGATTTAAGTTTGTTGATAAATACATGATATTTCATCCCGATCTGATGTCCCTGCTGTTACCCTAATCTTAAGTTGTGTCACGTATCGTTATATCAGAGTATGAGCATCTAATGGTTTCTGCTAAAACATTGTATCTCAGATAAAACAGTAAGGACAGAATGATATATTGACTGGGGGTATAACAATACTAAGGTAACATGTGAAATTGTTATCCTGCGAAAACCATCGCTGACCGAGGCAAAACCAAGGTCAGAAAAGGTTTTCAAGGGACAACAATTTCATGTTACCCTGAATAAACATGTAGTATTTTTTTTTTGGTTATACTGAATGTATTTAGAATGCACTTAAAAGAAAACGCCACAGTGAACCATGCGTGCAGACATTCTGCGCAGTTAACAATTTTTATACTGTTACCCGTTGTCATGCATTGTCAACCGTTGCTATGTAATACTACCCAGAGGGCGTGGTTTACGTAGGGTAACAATATATTTTAACAAATGTTTTTTTAAACCAATCAAATTTGGCTATTTAACATGAAAGTATAACAAATCAATATATTGTGATGCATAGGGGGGTCAATATGATACATTAATAGAAGGCACTGCATGAGATAAACAACTCTCTAGAAAAAAAAAGATTCATCCAGAAATAAAGAACACACTGTAATACAAGTGCACATTTAATATCAACAACAATGTAATCAACATCTATATATATAATTATAAATATATATCAATCTTTCATTCAAATGCATTATTGCACCTTTATAACAATCAAATCAAGCCACAAAATTTGGATTCGTTGACAAAGAGAGCTTTTCCTCTCCTTTTCATCTCTCTTTTGTCTCTCAAGTATTTCATATATAAAATCTAACAGAAAGTCTCGACATTTAATGCACCATAAAAATGAAATAAAATTCTTTTAAAAAATAAATTCATCCGATAAGTAAATGTACCAAAACACAAGATGGTAACTTTTATCCTCTTATCAAATGTATAATAGGTACCCTATGCTATTTTTACTTGATTTGTTGAATCTTAGCTTCTCCGTTTTGTTATAAATCCGAAATTGCTGTATAATAAAAAAGTATGAAATGGTTCAGGTTAGATCAACTACACACTAAATTAGTAACTGCTTTGCTAATCTACAATATTCTGGGTCTTTACTAACAATCTAAACACAAAGATCATTAAAACAATATTCAGTCTTGTTAACTTTTAAGTTTGATTATTTTCTTATGATTTCTTATTGGTATACAAACATATAATATTTAATTTCATACTTTAAAAAGCACCTGATGATTTCTATTTAAAAAAAAAAAAGATGAATCATTCTAACTAAGAATGTTGCAAAATTTTGATTCGAGAAAAAAAAAAATTTCTAAAGAAGAAATCCTAAATAAAAAAGAACCCCTTCATGAACACTGAAATTGAGAGATTTTGGTATTACTGAGAAGAATTTACTTGGCATTGCTTTCAAAGACTGCTTTGTTTCTAAGATAAGAACAAAACATATTAACTCATATTAACCATTCAATGAGGAGTAATATGGAAGTACATGTAATAGGTAGAAAGTATTTCTGTACCAATAGTTCTGCCATTTATTTTGTCATCTTGTCAAAGCAAAAGATAAATACAAGATTCTAAGACAAATAATTTTTTGCAGCAATGATTGGGTATATGACACAAAGTTAAAATGTCTAGTGAGGGTCATCCAACAGCTGATATCATGTTCCATGGTCATCACAAAATGTGTCTAACGGGCCCAGGACCACAAATTTGACCTATTTTGCCTTGCCCTTTCTGAAAAATAACTGATAACTGATCAAAACTTATACACCCTTAAGGAAAGTCAAATATCAAAGTACAGTTTTTATAAGAAAAACCCTTTCATGTACAGATTACCTCCCCTCAGAATAGAGTAACCCTACAATACTTCTGTACAAAAGATTAGCAGAAAATGGTTGAGTAAGTTGACATTTGCATGTTCAACCTCTGATCAAAAAACTTGGTGAGTTATAGAGATATGAAAATTAATCTACCGGCAACATTTCACATACCTTACTAACTATTAGGTCATGGATGGTCAGTTACACACATGTAACTTGGCAATAAAGAGAGAGTGATGAGCATTACCAGTAACTGATGGATAACAAAAAACACAACCAGAAAAGTAACCACCTCTCAGAGCTCTCAACAAAAGGAAAGGAATGTACAGAGAATATATGTCATTATGTGTATGTATTAATTAAATGTTTAAAGAGGGACTATGCTATCATATATAAAAATCAAAATTATGTCCTACCAAACTCAGTGTAATACATGTATAAACTATGCAGCATGTGCAGTCTAAAAGAGATGGTGTAAAAATCTCATACAAAACTTAAGTGTAATACATGTAATACCAGTACACATACTACACGATACACAAAATTATACAAGAAGTCCCTATAGAGATACTTCAACTTAAAACATACAGTCTAGGCAGTAAATAGTCCCGAAATGCTTAATTACAGTTAATACATTAAATAGTCACATGAGTACAATGGCACATCTCCTGAGTGGAGAGTCTATAACATCAAACTGTCCTGAGATTGAAGTCAGTCTCAGTCTGACGTGTAAGAGAACACAGTCTCTGTATCATGGGGCATCAACTGAAACAGACTGAACTGCTGCTGCTCCTGGGACAGGGCTGTAGACACGGGGGTTTGCAAAGGGAAACCTACTGATGCATTTACAGGGGTGGTATTTATCACAGCCGCTCTTGCAGGTGGATTCATAATCACTGGTGTACCTGAAGAGACAAAAATACATTAATTTTTACTATATTAAAAGTCAAACTTGGAGACTGAAAATAAAAAGGAAATATGTGTTATTTAAAGTCAAACATGAGAAAATCCATAATTTATTGAATATACATGTACTGAAAATATACTTTTATCCATGTCTAATTGTTTACAAGAAGTCTGTGCTCATAAATTTTCCTTGGAATTCTGTATCTAAGTATTCAAAGATCATCTTTTCTAAATACTTTACTGTCACATCAAAATAAAACATTTACCTTGGTAGTCATGCTCCACTTACATAACAAAAGGCCCATGGGCCACATTGCTCATCTGAGCACTTTCTCTAGGAAAAAGCAGAAATCAATCATTATCGAAAAAGTGGTCTGGGGAAGGGGGTGGGGGTGGGCTGTTTGAACAATCTTGAATCTACACTACCTGAGGATGCTTTCATATAAATATGACTCCTTATGGCTTATGTATATTTTCCAAGATTTTTTCCTAAACATTTATCTTCTATTCTATTGTAAAAATTTGATCAACCATTGTAGCCCCTCCCTAACCCCTGGGGTCATGATTTGAACAAATCTGAATCTACACTACCTGAGGATGTTTCCATATGAATATGACAAATCATGGCTTTGCTGCTCTTGAGAAGAATTTTTAAGATTTTTCCTATGTATTCCTTTGTACAACTTTGATTGCCTATTGCGGCTTCACCCTACCCTCACCCCCTGGGGTCATGATTTGAACAAACTTGGATCTACACTACCTGAAAAGTTTCAACTTTTTTGGCGCAAAGGTTCCTAAGAAGAATATTTTTAAAAGATGCCATTAATTGTTCACTAATTTGCAATTATCTCTCCTTGAACGAAGGCTTGGCCCTTCATTTTAACAAACTTGAACCCCTTTATCCAACAATAATTTGTGGCATGTTCGGTTGAAATTGGCCAGTGGTTCTTGAGAAGAAGTGGAAAATGTGAAAAATTACTGACAGACAGATGGATGGACAGACAACACTAGACAAAATGTGATCAAATAAGCTCACTTGAGCCTTTGGCTCAGGTGAGGTAATATTAAAATGAAATGTAGACTGAAAGGGACAAAAGAGACACTGTCATAGGTAGCTAAACACAGTTTCGTATAAAATCCAGGGGTTTTTCCAAGAAAGAAGGATGATGGGTAGGGATTTTCCTGCTATTTAAGTGTACTTGAAAATTGCAACTTTTTTGTTTTTGTTTGCATAAAGTAGAGTCTTATCTTAATATTAAATGAAAAAAATATGCATATATTTTTTTAGAATAATTTTGTGTGTGACATTTTAATAGTGGGAGGTAACTCTCAAAACATCCAGTTTTCACACGTGCAGAATGGCAGGACTTGAATAGCAGGTAATGTAGCTCTTTCAAAAGCTGGAAAATGTACCCTAAAAGTACATCAAAAAGAAACCTGAGGACTTGTTCTATCAAATGCATAGAACTTATATTTTCTGATTTCTGCGCTGTCCATTGATAAAGGGAGGTAAAAATGCATATGTGTACTGGGATAAGACACATAAATTACCCCATTTCCCTCATGTTTTGTGTGTTAAATACATGTTTTTTAGTAAGTGATGAATGGATCATACTTTGATATTTATAAAATTCATCATTTTATCTTTCCATTGATATATAAAAGTCTATGTAACAAGCCTTAATATTATTTTTTTATAGGGGTCAGTTTTGCTTGTCCCTCACATGGTAACGTCGCAATAACGTCATACATAAAACTGTGTTTTGCACCCATAAAAGTTTTGATCAACAGTCAGACAGCAGTACACATGAATAGTACAGTAAAACTTGTTGAATCCGGATGTTGTGCATTCCAGCATGTTGTTCAGTCTGGCGTAATATTTTAGTCCCTTGAATTTTCTTTATAATTTATGTTTAATAAATGTTGTTCAATCCGGATCTTGCCTATTCTGTAAACCGGCCGCTATTTAAAGAACTAACTGCTCATAATTAGCACAAATTATCTCCTCTAATCCGGCCACTTATTTTTACCTGTGACCGCTGGTCATTAGAGAAGTCTCGCGTGGGGTAATTATTGTCCCGTTAATGATCTATCCTGTATCGACAGTTTAGATTTTAACAAACGTAATTAAAAAAATTCATTAATGGCTCAAGGAAGGCGAGGAAACTCGCAAAAGAACGAGTGATAGTGATGGTTGCGTGTAGCATGTCTGTAGAAAAACTTGGAGACTTATTCATGACCTCCTTTCTACTTTCGTTTTGCGTGCATGACGTGCAATTCGAATTACTTCCCTTTGTGTCGCTAGTTTAGAAAGAAATTAATTAGAAATCTGTCCCTAACAAAATAATATTTACAGCTACGATGAAGTTTTGGAGTGTGTTTAAAACATTTAACGATTTTCAAATTTAATGAATGACCAACAGATAATATATTTCATTACTGAATAAAAAATTTAAACAGAAATGAAAATTCTGAAGAACAAACAGAGTTCAAAACAAACGAAATAGACGATGTTTTCAAGTGAAACGTAAAAAAAATGACACATTTGATCAAGTATTTATTTACCATCTTTGTTTATATCTATGAAATTTTTAACTTGCTATAACGGTTCAATTTTCTCCAATCCGGATGTTGTCTAATCCGGCCAAAAATTTTGGAACCACTGGTCGCCGGATTAAGCAAGTTTTACTGTACATGTATAGGGCATCCACATTTTGATGAATAGTGATAACTTCCCCATTTTTGAAGTGGGGACCTGAACAAACTGTGTACTACACAAAAAAATAATCCTTCAGCTAAAGCTTCACCTGGATTGGGGACATCAGGGAGTGGAAGAATTCCCTGCTGAGCCATTGCAAGCTGCCGTGTAATCTGTTGAAGTTCTTCCTGTTGTTGAAGAATGGCCTGCTGTAATTTCTGGGACTTCTCTCTCAACTGTTCATGAAGCTGCTTCTGGATTGGTGTCAGAAATAACTGTGGAGTCTGACTCTGTTCACATACATAAAATAAAACGTATACTAACAATTCAAAGAAATATTTCTATGTTAGAAGTGACAATTAAGGCCCAAAAAAATTAATCAATAGTTTCTCAGGCACGCCGCATCTGGTCAAAAACTGCCACATTGATCAATTTTATTGACATTTTGAAAAGGGAAATAACTCAATTTTCTATTTTTCCAAGTTGAAAAAGAAAATTGAGTTATTTCCCTTTTCATAACAATTAATAGAATTTTTTTTATTAGACAAACAATATTCTTCTAGTCTATACAGTCCTTTATTAATTAACTTTTAAAGAAATGTTTAGAATAACATAATTTAAAGTTGAGTACATTATAATTAGTATATTAAGAGAACAAAAAAGTAAGAATCAGTTAATATGATCATTTTGTTAAACGACTGACATGAAAAATGAGACACCTGCTTCAAAAAAACAAAAAACAAAAAAAAAAAACCTGCCTGCTGCATTGAATTTTGAAATTTTTGGGCTGAGAAACTATTAATTAAATTTTTATCGCCTAACAATTAGAGAGCACAAAAAAGCCATTCTATCAAAACTAGTACTCCAGTACTCCACATGTCGCACTGAAAAACAACAGGCCCATGGGCCTTGAATCGCTCTTCTGATAAACTGTACAACCTATCACTTCTATTTGAAGCCTCGAAGTATCCTGTATATTTACATAAACCCTTGAAATTCCAATTCACACTCTGAGAACCCAAGATGATTCTAAGCCAATTAGTACCTGAGAGTTGGTCATGGTGACCTACTTATCACTTGTCATTCTCTGAGGACCCATCAACTAAGTTTGATGATTCTAAGCCAATTAATACCTAAAATGTTTTTTAAAATTATAATCATAAAATTTTATAAGTAGGTCAAAGTGACCTACTTTTCAATTGTTTTACTCCAAGGACCCAAGATGCATCAACTGACAAAGTTTGATGATTCTAAGCCAATTAGTACCTGTAATATTTAATTAAAGCCATAAATTTTCAAAAGTAGGTCACCGTGACCTTCTTTTCAGTTGCTGTACTCCGAGGACCAAAGATACATCGACTGACAAAGTTTGATGATTCTAGCCAATAAGTACCCAAAATATTTAATTACAGCCATAAATTTTCAAAAGTAGGTCACAGTGACCTACTTTTCAGTCAACCTACTCCGAGGACCAAAGATGCATCAACTGACAAATTTTGACAATTCTAAGCCAAATAATTCCTGAAAATATTAAATACAGCCATAAAATTTCAAAAGTAGGTCACCATGACCTACTTTTCAGTTGTTGTACTCCGAGGACCCAAGACGCATCAACTGACAAAGTTTAATGATTCTAAGCCAATTAGTACCCGAAATATTTGATTAAAGCCATAAATTTTCAAAAGTAGGTCAGAGTGACCTACTTTTCAGTTGTTGTACTCCGAGGACCCATGACGCCTAAACTGACAAAGTTTTATGATTCTAAGCCAACTAGTACCCGAAATATTTTATTAAAGCCATAAATTTTCCGAAAGTAGGTCACGGTGACCTACTTTTTAGTCGACCTACTCCGAAGACCCATGACGCATCAACTGACAAAGTTTGATGATTCTAAGCCAATTAGTACCCAAAATATTCAATTAAAGCCATAAATTTTCAAAAGTAGGTCACGGTGACCTACTTTTTAGTCGATCTACTCTGAAGACCCAAGATGCATCAACTGACAAAGTTTGATGATTCTAAGCCAATTAGTACCCGAAATATTTAATTATCGCCATAAACTTTCAAAAGTAGGTCACTGCGACCTACTTTTTAGTCGACCTACTCCGAAGACCCAAGATGCATCAACTGACAAAGTTTGATGATTCTAAGCCAATTAGTACCCGAAATATTTAATTAACGCCATAAATTTTCAAAAGTAGGTCACTGTGACCTACTTTTTAGTCGACCTACTCCGAAGACCCAAGATGCATCAACTGACAAAGTTTGATGATTCTAAGCCAATTAGTACCTGAAATATTTAATTATAGTCATATAAATTGAAAAGTAGGTCACGGTGACCTACTTTTCAGTTGACCTTTTTTGAGGACCCAAGATGCATCAACTGACAAAGTTTTATGATCATAGGACTTAAAATGTCCAAATTATGCCTCTAAAACACTTTGAAATCGAATGCCTGCAAAGTTCAAAAAGTAGGTCACTGTGACCTACTTTTTAATAAATATGTTTTATGGCCCCAAGATGCATCATCTTACAAGATTTAATGATTCTAAGCCTCCCCGTATTCGAATTAATGACCTTAAGTGTTTTAAAAAAGATAAGCCATAAAATTCAAAAAGTAGGTCAAGGTGACCTACTTTTTAGTTGACGTACTTTGAGGACCCAAGATGCATCAACTGACAAAGTTTGATGATCATAGGCCTTAAATTGTTCAAAATATGCCTCTAAATCAGTTTGAAAAAGAATGGCCGCAAAATTTAAAAAGTAGGTCACTGTGACCTACTTTTGAGTCAACATGATATGAGGTCCTTAGATGCACCAACTGACAAGATTTGATGATCCTAGTCCTTATAGTAAGCAAAATATCAACATTTTAATAAAATGTAATTTTTGGTCAACTTTGAAGTGACCTTGAGACCACGCCCTTTGCCCCAGGGTAAATCCCCGTGCAAATTTTAATCTACAACATATCCTCATCCTTTTGTGTAAGTTTGGTAATAATCTGCCCAGTGGTTCTTGAGAAGAAGATTTTTTAGCAACCAGTACTTTTTTTTCTATTTTCCTAATTATCTCCCCTTGTTAAAGGGTCACAACCCCAGTTTTAGTATAAAAGGGGGCCCTTGGGCCAAGGATACCCTGAGACAAATTTGACAATAATTGGCCAAGAGGTTCTTGAGTTATGGCCCATATTCTAAAAAGTTTACGCACACCGCACACCACACAAATGGCCATAGCATTAGCTCTTTGAGCCTTTGGCTCAGAAGAGCTAAAAAAGAATATTTAATATTCCTAATCTGATTTGATTTCTATAAACTTTCAGCTTAAATTTCAAAATAATTTGTTTCAAGTACTACAAAAAGATAATTCTGCCCAACAAATGCCAACATTACATAAATTTAGTGCATTATAAAGTTATGGTCTGGTTCAATCCTTGTGACCCTGACCTTTATGTCATCTTGGTGGAGGGTGGTGACACACTCCCAAGTCGTAAGAGAGGGCAAACTTGTGATAAAGAATTGTGACACATCTTGCGGTCGATAGCTACCTCATTTTTCAGTATGAATTTTAACAATCTCTCCCTTATAAAGGCAACTTTAAACAAGAGGCCCATGGGCCTTGAATCGCTCTTCTGATAAACTGTACAACCTATCACTTCTATTTGAAGCCTCGAAGTATCCTGTATATTTACATAAACCCTTGAAATTCCAATTCACACTCTGAGAACCCAAGATGATTCTATGCCAATTAGTACCTGAGAGTTGGTCATGGTGACCTACTTATCACTTGTCATTCTCTGAGGACCCATCAACTAAATTTGATGATTCTAAGCCAATTAATACCTAAAATGTTTTTTAAAATTATAATCATAAAATTTTATAAGTAGGTCAAAGTGACCTACTTTTCAATTGTTTTACTCCAAGGACCCAAGATGCATCAACTGACAAAGTTTGATGATTCTAAGCCAAATAGTACCTGTAATATTTAATTAAAGCCATAAATTTTCAAAAGTAGGTCACAGTGACCTACTTTTCAGTCAACCTACTCCGAGGACCAAAGATGCATCAACTGACAAATTTTGACGATTCTAAGCCAAATAATTCCTGAAAATATTAAATACAGCCATAAAATTTCAAAAGAAGGTCACCGTGACCTACTTTTCAGTTGTTGTACTCCGAGGACCCAAGACGCATCAACTGACAAAGTTTAATGATTCTAAGCCAATTAGTACCTGAAATATTTGATTAAAGCCATAAATTTTCAAAAGTAGGTCACGGTGACCTACTTTTCAGTTGCTGTACTCCGAGGACCCATGACGCATAAACTGACAAAGTTTTATGATTCTAAGCCAATTAGTACCCGAAAATATTTTATTAAAGCCATAAATTTTCCGAAAGTAGGTCACGGGGACCTACTTTTTTAGTCGACCTACTCCGAAGACCCATGACGCATCAACTGACAAAGTTTGATGATTCTAAGCCAATTAGTATCCGAAATATTTAATTATAGTCATATAAATTGAAAAGTAGGTCACGGTGACCTACTTTTCAGTTGACCTTTTTTGAGGACCCAAGATGCATCAACTGACAAAGTTTTATGATCATAGGACTTAAAATGTCCAAATTATGCCTCTAAAACACTTTGAAATCGAATGCCTGCAAAGTTCAAAAAGTAGGTCACTGTGACCTACTTTTTAATAAATATGTTTTATGGCCCCAAGATGCATCATCTTACAAGATTTAATGATTCTAAGCCTCCCCGTATTCGAATTAATGACCTTAAGTGTTTTAAAAAAGATAAGCCATAAAATTCAAAAAGTAGGTCAAGGTGACCTACTTTTTAGTTGACGTACTTTGAGGACCCAAGATGCATCAACTGACAAAGTTTGATGATCATAGGCCTTAAATTGTTCAAAATATGCCTCTAAATCAGTTTGAAAAAGAATGGCCGCAAAATTTAAAAAGTAGGTCACCGTGACCTACTTTTGAGTCAACATGATATGAGGTCCTTAGATGCACCAACTGACAAGATTTGATGATCCTAGTCCTTATAGTAAGCAAAATATCAACATTTTAATAAAATGTAATTTTTGGTCAACTTTGAAGTGACCTTGAGACCACGCCCTTTGCCCCAGGGTAAATCCCCGTGCAAATTTTAATCTACAACATATCCTCATCCTTTTGTGTAAGTTTGGTAATAATCTGCCCAGTGGTTCTTGAGAAGAAGATTTTTTAGCAACCAGTACTTTTTTTTCTATTTTCCTAATTATCTCCCCTTGTTAAAGGGTCACAACCCCAGTTTTAGTATAAAAGGGGGCCCTTGGGCCAAGGATACCCTGAGACAAATTTGACAATAATTGGCCAAGAGGTTCTTGAGTTATGGCCCATATTCTAAAAAGTTTACGCACACCGCACACCACACAAATGGCCATAGCATTAGCTCTTTGAGCCTTTGGCTCAGAAGAGCTAAAAAAGAATATTTAATATTCCTAATCTGATTTGATTTCTATAAACTTTCAGCTTAAATTTCAAAATAATTTGTTTCAAGTACTACAAAAAGATAATTCTGCCCAACAAATGCCAACATTACATAAATTTAGTGCATTATAAAGTTATGGTCTGGTTCAATCCTTGTGACCCTGACCTTTATGTCATCTTGGTGGAGGGTGGTGACACACTCCCAAGTCGTAAGAGAGGGCAAACTTGTGATAAAGAATTGTGACACATCTTGCGGTCGATAGCTACCTCATTTTTCAGTATGAATTTTAACAATCTCTCCCTTATAAAGGCAACTTTAAACAAGAGGCCCATGGGCCTTGAATCGCTCTTCTGATAAACTGTACAACCTATCACTTCTATTTGAAGCCTCGAAGTATCCTGTATATTTACATAAACCCTTGAAATTCCAATTCACACTCTGAGAACCCAAGATGATTCTATGCCAATTAGTACCTGAGAGTTGGTCATGGTGACCTACTTATCACTTGTCATTCTCTGAGGACCCATCAACTAAATTTGATGATTCTAAGCCAATTAATACCTAAAATGTTTTTTAAAATTATAATCATAAAATTTTATAAGTAGGTCAAAGTGACCTACTTTTCAATTGTTTTACTCCAAGGACCCAAGATGCATCAACTGACAAAGTTTGATGATTCTAAGCCAAATAGTACCTGTAATATTTAATTACAGCCATAAATTTTCAAAAGTAGGTCACAGTGACCTACTTTTCAGTCAACCTACTCCGAGGACCAAAGATGCATCAACTGACAAATTTTGACGATTCTAAGCCAAATAATTCCTGAAAATATTAAATACAGCCATAAAATTTCAAAAGAAGGTCACCGTGACCTACTTTTCAGTTGTTGTACTCCGAGGACCCAAGATGCATCAACTGACAAAGTTTAATGATTCTAAGCCAATTAGTACCTGAAATATTTGATTAAAGCCATAAATTTTCAAAAGTAGGTCACGGTGACCTACTTTTCAGTTGCTGTACTCCGAGGACCCATGACGCATAAACTGACAAAGTTTTATGATTCTAAGCCAATTAGTACCCGAAAATATTTTATTAAAGCCATAAATTTTCCGAAAGTAGGTCACGGGGACCTACTTTTTTAGTCGACCTACTCCGAAGACCCATGACGCATCAACTGACAAAGTTTGATGATTCTAAGCCAATTAGTATCCGAAATATTTAATTATAGTCATATAAATTGAAAAGTAGGTCACGGTGACCTACTTTTCAGTTGACCTTTTTTGAGGACCCAAGATGCATCAACTGACAAAGTTTTATGATCATAGGACTTAAAATGTCCAAATTATGCCTCTAAAACACTTTGAAATCGAATGCCTGCAAAGTTCAAAAAGTAGGTCACTGTGACCTACTTTTTAATAAATATGTTTTATGGCCCCAAGATGCATCATCTTACAAGATTTAATGATTCTAAGCCTCCCCGTATTCGAATTAATGACCTTAAGTGTTTTAAAAAAGATAAGCCATAAAATTCAAAAAGTAGGTCAAGGTGACCTACTTTTTAGTTGACGTACTTTGAGGACCCAAGATGCATCAACTGACAAAGTTTGATGATCATAGGCCTTAAATTGTTCAAAATATGCCTCTAAATCAGTTTGAAAAAGAATGGCCGCAAAATTTAAAAAGTAGGTCACCGTGACCTACTTTTGAGTCAACATGATATGAGGTCCTTAGATGCACCAACTGACAAGATTTGATGATCCTAGTCCTTATAGTAAGCAAAATATCAACATTTTAATAAAATGTAATTTTTGGTCAACTTTGAAGTGACCTTGAGACCACGCCCTTTGCCCCAGGGTAAATCCCCGTGCAAATTTTAATCTACAACATATCCTCATCCTTTTGTGTAAGTTTGGTAATAATCTGCCCAGTGGTTCTTGAGAAGAAGATTTTTTAGCAACCAGTACTTTTTTTTCTATTTTCCTAATTATCTCCCCTTGTTAAAGGGTCACAACCCCAGTTTTAGTATAAAAGGGGGCCCTTGGGCCAAGGATACCCTGAGACAAATTTGACAATAATTGGCCAAGAGGTTCTTGAGTTATGGCCCATATTCTAAAAAGTTTACGCACACCGCACACCGCACAAATGGCCATAGCATTAGCTCTTTGAGCCTTTGGCTCAGAAGAGCTAAAAAAGAATATTTAATATTCCTAATCTGATTTGATTTCTATAAACTTTCAGCTTAAATTTCAAAATAATTTGTTTCAAGTACTACAAAAAGATAATTCTGCCCAACAAATGCCAACATTACATAAATTTAGTGCATTATAAAGTTATGGTCTGGTTCAATCCTTGTGACCCTGACCTTTATGTCATCTTGGTGGAGGGTGGTGACACACTCCCAAGTCGTAAGAGAGGGCAAACTTGTGATAAAGAATTGTGACACATCTTGCGGTCGATAGCTACCTCATTTTTCAGTATGAATTTTAACAATCTCTCCCTTATAAAGGCAACTTTAAACAAGAGGCCCATGGGCCTTGAATCGCTCTTCTGATAAACTGTACAACCTATCACTTCTATTTGAAGCCTCGAAGTATCCTGTATATTTACATAAACCCTTGAAATTCCAATTCACACTCTGAGAACCCAAGATGATTCTATGCCAATTAGTACCTGAGAGTTGGTCATGGTGACCTACTTATCACTTGTCATTCTCTGAGGACCCATCAACTAAATTTGATGATTCTAAGCCAATTAATACCTAAAATGTTTTTTAAAATTATAATCATAAAATTTTATAAGTAGGTCAAAGTGACCTACTTTTCAATTGTTTTACTCCAAGGACCCAAGATGCATCAACTGACAAAGTTTGATGATTCTAAGCCAAATAGTACCTGTAATATTTAATTAAAGCCATAAATTTTCAAAAGTAGGTCACAGTGACCTACTTTTCAGTCAACCTACTCCGAGGACCAAAGATGCATCAACTGACAAATTTTGACGATTCTAAGCCAAATAATTCCTGAAAATATTAAATACAGCCATAAAATTTCAAAAGAAGGTCACCATGACCTACTTTTCAGTTGTTGTACTCCGAGGACCCAAGACGCATCAACTGACAAAGTTTAATGATTCTAAGCCAATTAGTACCTGAAATATTTGATTAAAGCCATAAATTTTCAAAAGTAGGTCACGGTGACCTACTTTTCAGTTGCTGTACTCCGAGGACCCATGACGCATAAACTGACAAAGTTTTATGATTCTAAGCCAATTAGTACCCGAAAATATTTTATTAAAGCCATAAATTTTCCGAAAGTAGGTCACGGGGACCTACTTTTTTAGTCGACCTACTCCGAAGACCCATGACGCATCAACTGACAAAGTTTGATGATTCTAAGCCAATTAGTATCCGAAATATTTAATTATAGTCATATAAATTGAAAAGTAGGTCACGGTGACCTACTTTTCAGTTGACCTTTTTTGAGGACCCAAGATGCATCAAGTTACAAAGTTTTATGATCATAGGACTTAAAATGTCCAAATTATGCCTCTAAAACACTTTGAAATCGAATGCCTGCAAAGTTCAAAAAGTAGGTCACTGTGACCTACTTTTTAATAAATATGTTTTATGGCCCCAAGATGCATCATCTTACAAGATTTAATGATTCTAAGCCTCCCCGTATTCAAATTAATGACCTTAAGTGTTTTAAAAAAGATTAGCCATAAAATTCAAAAAGTAGGTCAAGGTGACCTACTTTTTAGTTGACGTACTTTGAGGAACCAAGATGCATCAACTGACAAAGTTTGATGATCATAGGCCTTAAATTGTTCAAAATATGCCTCTAAATCAGTTTGAAAAAGAATGGTCGCAAAATTTAAAAAGTAGGTCACCGTGACCTACTTTTGAGTCAACATGATATGAGGTCCTTAGATGCACCAACTGACAAGATTTGATGATCCTAGTCCTTATAGTAAGCAAAATATCAACATTTTAATAAAATGTAATTTTTGGTCAACTTTGAAGTGACCTTGAGACCACGCCCTTTGCCCCAGGGTAAATCCCCGTGCAAATTTTAATCTACAACATATCCTCATCCTTTTGTGTAAGTTTGGTGATAATCTGCCCAGTGGTTCTTGAGAAGAAGATTTTTTAGCAACCAGTACTTTTTTTTCTATTTTCCTAATTATCTCCCCTTGTTAAAGGGTCACAACCCCAGTTTTAGTAAAAAAGGGAGCCCTTGGGCCAAGGATACCCTGTGACAAATTTGACAATAATTGGCCAAGGGGTTCTTGAGTTATGGCCCATATTCTAAAAAGTTTACGCACACCGCACAAATGGCCATAGCATTAGCTCTTTGAGCCTTTGGCTCAGAAGAGCTAATAAAAATGCAAATCCTAACAGGATCACATAGACAACCTTGACTGAGAGCCATTTATCTTCTGATTATTAACAACCTTTCTTTTTAGTGTGAACCTTAATAGCCTTTTCTTTCGGAAGTTTAATCCTCAACAAATTTATATAATATTCACTTTAAAAAATGACATAATTCACTTATAGGGCGGAAAATGTACAAGTATGTCCTTGTAAATTATTATCAAGGTGAAAAGATCATTTCGTAGGTAACATACTGGAGATTTTTGACCATCAATAACAGGAAGTTGTGAACTGTGATGCATTGTGGGAATGTGCGAAGTTGAGGAAACACTGTCTGCTCCATTTCTGTTTGATACCATTGCCTGTAAATAAAGTAAACTTTCATTAATTTCCCAAAATTTAACTTCTAAAATCTTGAAAACAATAAAACTTCTTCCCTCTTGATTTTAAAAGAACTGTTTATGCAATATTTCCAATATTGGGAATGCCCATTTTTAAAAAAATATTGCAATAACTTAAGTTGTCGTAATGTGATAATAACCTCTGGCCATGCCCTCCCATCTTTTTAGGTGCACAATCAAAACAATTTAAATACTACATAGACAAAAGCATCCATAGATACACAAAATAATTATGTACAGTGTAAGCACTGTACTTCACTTTTGAAGCTGGGAGCATGCTAAACTTGCTCATCAGTCACTGAAGTGCAGTTTGGCTTTGGAAAATTAGTTGCAAATTTTCTTTCCACCCATTGCCAAACTTTTTTGGTGAGTAGTCAAAATAAGCAAGGTTCTATATGAAGAAGTCTACAACAAAGTGACTATCTTAAATTTATTCCTCCTCATGATTAACTTTTGACACATGCTGTAGTTCAATCATGAAAATGTTCTAATTGCCCTCTTTGATACATGGATCTATACTATTTACATATTCTTGCTCCATAACTTAAACAAACACATCCATTACTCATGTGCTATTTTAGAAAGGTAACTTCAGATGAAGGTAATTGACAATTACAGCAGTCTTTTCTAACATCACAGTACAGGGTTGTCCCTAAGACCTGGGGGAAAGGGAATTTCCCCACCTATAATGACATAAGCCTATGGTTATTATGGTACATGTATTTCCTCTCAACCCCCTCTTAGAGGAGGAATCCCAGACCCTTTCTACTTGTTTAATATCCCCTGCTATTTCAATCAAGGGACAAACCTACAATATATACTAATCGACATCCTCTGCTCTTTTGCTACCAAAATTTCATTGGAATTTAGCTTTCTTGATATGAATAGCAGGATGAAAGGGTAAAATTAGACAAATCCCATCAAATTACAGAGGATTGGTCTTTACAACTATGGTAGAGACCCATAGATTTTTGAAATGGATTCCTACCAGTCTATCTGGGTTGACATGTAACATATTCTGGGCTGCAGCAGCTGGTTCTGTGTATCTCTGTAGCTGTTTGGGGTCATTAGCAGTAGCCTGGTTGAGGTATCTCTGTTGAAGCAGAAGCTGGATATGCTTGTGTTGTGACAAAGAAGAATCTTTTGTGATGTGAGAGGGCAGTTCTTCCACACTTTCTTTATCAGACATCTGATTTCCTGTAAAATACCATATGAAAATCTAGTCAAAAAAGATAACACAGTTACATTATACCATATTTATCCCAGCTAATGTCTAGGGCACTTGGGAACAAATTACAAAGTGCCAGAAAGAAGGGGGTAATAACAATAAAATATACTGAACAGTGATAAAATTGTTTTCCCTTACTAGTCTGTAGAACTATTCTACTGTGGTAAACTTGAGTAATACAGGGGATGAAACAAGTAAAATTGAATAATAACACAATTAAAGTTACTAGAAGACACAGTCCAATGACACAAACAAAAGACGACCAATTGATCTAGAGGCTTCTACAACAGGAGTTTGATTAAATTTTTACCAGCGTTTTTGGTTTCTAGTCCATAAGATGCACATTCACGGTTTCCTTTGTGATGAAATAATCAGCCTTTATTTTATTGTATAACAGTTATTCATACCAAGAAATAACCACAAGTTCATCATGTTTTCTTTTAACAACATAGGTTTTGTATCAAGATGCAATAACTTACATTCTATTAACCTTTTATTTAAATTCAGATGTACAGTGTAGTACAGTCGTAATCACAAAGGCTCAGTAAACCATATACAGGTAACTCTTGATGGCTCGAACTTTGATCTCTCGAAGTTCTTGATCGCTCGAAGTGAGTCTCCGGTCCCGAATTTTTCCCCTATATAACTAAGCAAATTTACTCTTGATTTCTCGAACTCTTGATCTCTCGAAACCCTTGATCCCTCGAAGTCAAAATGCAGTCCCGCTATGCATATTCTATTAGAATTTTACATCGAAGTGGCTATGTGTAATTAACACCTTTACCTGGACATTTAAATCGTCCTAGGCAGAAGACGCGGGTCTTGGGGAACGGGATGTTTATTCAGGTGACACTTATGCTGCAAGGTGATAATTGATTTATAATTAATCATATTTTGCCTATATGCTATTAAAATAATTATCATCGACTGTCTTACGTACGGTAATTCAGAGACGCAGTGTCAGTGAAATGTAGTAAATGATTAAAAGACGAAACACTAATTTTATTTTTATTTTGAGTCTGTGTCAAAGTTAAACGAAATATGAAAAAGCAGAAACAGCCTCAATGTCAATATGACGACTATTATTGGACAAATACTTACAGAACTGCGTTCAATTATCATGCTTGGAATAGTCAATGCATATGTACGACGCTGTAAAACGTTATTTTCAAGTAACGAATGCATAGATCTAGTATGATGTCCGTATTACAAAGAATAAATAAATATACATGAAATGACGATATACATTTTTTGCGTTACTCAGTTTAATGAAATATTCATCTAAAAAATATCGTTGTTTTATAAAAACCACGTGTAAAAGGTTAGCATGGTTAGCACTGCATGAAAATCATTACATCTGGTTAGACTAATTTTAAAACCTGTCAACAAACCCGGAAAATTCCGGACTCTTGAAAACTCGAACTCTTGATCTCTCGAATTTTTCCTCGGTCCCGCGGACTTCGAGGTATCGAGAGTTACCTGTAGTTCCATATTTACTTGAAATTGGGTCAGAGTGACCTAGATAAAAGTATGAAAAATTCCTTTGTAAATCTTAAGTATGCACTTACCACTGACATGTTGATCAGTGCTGGCAGAATCAATAGAGTGTGAAGAGGACCAGTTGGACCGTGACCTTCCTCCTGAGGTCACAGAACATACGGAGGGACTTCGCTGGACTTGGAAGGAAGACTCCAAGTTGTCTGACTTAGAATCAATACCCAAATCCTTGAGTACCTGTTCCCTGACATCAGCATAGCTAAAATACAAAATTGGTAATCAATAAAACCATGTTTCTGAAGATAAATGACCTTCAAAAAGTTTACATATATTTTGTGAGTATTAAATAGTGGAACATATATGAGCTTAGCATTAATTTTTTTAAGCTTGAAATCTTTATCTTTAAAATACATGTATTTCATTAATCAAAAAACAAGATTAAGTGATTCATATCTCCTAGTTCTCATATATTTTGAATCTTGTTCACAGACATATCATTTTGATTCTGGTGTCTAAAGCTTTGAATATACTTTAAAAATTGACATTGCTTTAGCTAAGTGAAACCTTCTTCAGGTTTGCAAGGCTGACACTTGCACAATCAGATTATAATACATTGTATTACATCAAGAGAAAAAAAAACTGATTCCAGATTTATTACTTAAGAGTTATTTTGGGTTCCTTACCTTACAACTACATTAGTGCAGACAATAAACTCTGGCTTGGAATTCCACTGATGATATGTTATGTAATATCTTGTTTTTATCCAGATCCACTGTTGCCCCTTTGTCAGAAAACGATAGTGGGTTGACGATCCCTCCCCAGTCTGCATTACTATTAAAACACAATATAAATACATCACTTACTATTGATACATCATGTATCAGTTGCGTAAAGGGCCACAATACTCACCTGAGTCCCAATGGCCCTATTTTTCTTCATCAGTAGATTTTTTCCCTATACATGTATACTTCTATGTAAAACTTTGATCACCTATTGTGGTCCTACTCTACCCCCAGGAGTCATAATTTGAAAAAAAAAATGAATCTACAGTACCTGTGGATGCTTCCAGAATTCAATATGACTATTCATGCTTATGTAAAGTTTTTTTTTTTATATATTCCTATGTATGTTAAACGTTGATCGCCCCTTTGGGCCCCATACTACCCTCCTGGGGTCATGATTTGAACAAATTTGTATCCACTACGTAAAGAAGCTTTCACATAAGTTTCAACTCTTTTGGCCAATTGGTTCCCGGAAGATTTTTAAATATTCTTTCTTATATATTAGTATGTAAAACTTTGATTGCCTATTGTGGCCCCAACCTACCCTTTGGGGACATGATTTGAACAAACTTGAATCTACACTACCTGAAAATGCTTCTACATTAGTTTCATCATTTCTGACCCAGTGATGCTTGAGAAGATTTTTAAAAGATGATATTAAATTTTCACTCATTCTTAATTATCTCCCCTTGGAAGAGGGCAAGACTCTACATTAGAACAAACTTGAATCCCTTTACCCAAGGATACTTTGTAGTAAGTTTAGTTGAAATTGACCGAGTGGTTCTTGAGAAATCGAAAATGTGAAATATTTACATACAGACAGACAAATGGACACCAGACAAAATATGATCAGAAAAGCTCATATGTAATGAGTCTTCAGCTCAGGTGAGCTAATAACTGTCAAAAGACAAAATATCATACCTATTGATAAATCAGCTCTTGTTGAAACATGATGTATCACTTACATAATGATATTAAAAACAGTAAATTCCAACAGACAGTTTAATATGCTGAACTACTGAAATATCAGTTAGTGTTAAACGTAATATTTACATTTCTAATTGTTGTTTTCTCTGTGATAACTCTTTGAAATTTAGGTGAGTTGATTTTTTGGTAATTACACCTGAATGTAAATTTCACGAAGTGAAATGTCAGGAGCCTAACATGCAAGTCAAGTAAAATTTATATTTACAATTTTACTTCATATATAAATGTAAATATAAGGAATAACTGTCTAGTTTGTTGGGAACACCAGGGAATCAACGACAGTTGGAAACGTAGGATTATTTATGCATAATGGGCTCCTGTCAAATCATGATTGTAAGTGAAGACTTCACATCTAATGTCTATATCCCTGATAATCGATAAATACATCAAATTCAGAACAATAGCTGCTCCTTACCTTAACTGATTTATAATCTATAAACTTATCTAGGTTATGTTTAACATAACCACACAGAGTATCCTACCACTGTTTTTATGAGTGGTTGGTAGTTCAAGGTACATAAAATACATATAAATCAGACAGTGGTACACCACAAAGTCAGTCAGGATCAGACTGCTCATTAACTTAATTAAGACATATATATATATAACATTACCCCAGGGTAGTCAATTGAAGTACACAATTCAGTAGGTCAGGTCTGTAATTATATATTATTAAATGTCAGGAATTTTGATGCTGATTAGTCCGAACAATCTTGTTTGAGGTGTACCTCCAAGTGCAAGTTAACATCAAAACAGTAAAACTCATAGAATGACATGGATGTAACAAATTCACAGATAAAGCAGTTTTTGGGGATCTCTGGCAGAATCCTAAATATTTCTTTGTAAAATTTTATGGTTTTAATGGACTCTAATAAGACAAATTTACAGATATATATGAAGTGATTAGTTGTCCCACTGAGGTTAAAAATAACAACATTTACATCTTTTATAACAAAGTTTTAAAGATCTCAAAATTCATAAAATATTGAACTGAATTTATTTTTCTGTTAAGTATTTTTATATGAAATTCAATTCAACAGAAAACTTAAAGTTATTCAGGGTATGTCTTGTATTTAGTGCTTCTTTAACAAAATTTGTAGTCATACTTTAAGGAAAACCTACATTATGAATTCACTGCAAACACTTTAATGAATTCATCATGGACATAACGAATTACGCATATAGTGAAGTAAATTCACAGGTCCCCAGGACATTGCTATATCCAAATTTTACTGTATTAATTTTATGGAGGTTAGGTTTATTCAGCCTCCATCAACTATTACCTTATCAGGTCCATATAGTAACAATTAGACCTCATGGAAAGTCAAAAATTACATACATGTAGTATACTGACCTATAAAAAAGTTTTCAAATCAATGTCTCCTCAAGTAAACTTAAAACTCCTGTAAAATTTCCATGACACTTTTTTTTTTTACATTTTTCTTTTTGAAACATGAAATATCTTCAGTAAATAATATAATGGGATTCTTTGTGCCTGGGGTTAAAAAAAAACTATCATCCATTAATGTAACATGTACACTGAAAACTTACACTGCTCATGTGATTTAGCTATCTGTTCAAGGTCATCAGGATGATAATAATCATATCCAGAAGTCCCTAAAACTTCAAATGGTAGATATCCAATTATTGGAGAGGCCCTGAAAAGCAAAAAATACATATATATATATCAGAACCAAATCATGCTTTTGCCTGATTTTCTTCAATGTATGATTTGTCTGTAGTACTGACAAAGCACTGGAGAATTCATTTTCACCTCTAAATATGACATTAACCTTACATGACCTTTTGACCTTCAACAAATATGAAGGCCACATCACAACACACTGCAGAAAGCAGACCCTTACAACTCCAATTCCTGTTCATGACTTTTCATCTTTGCCATAAAATTTTTAAAAATGCGTTTGGTGAAATCTTACACATCATTATTTTCAGAACTTAAGATTGAAAACTTTGAATAGGATTATACATAGCTAAGTAACAAACAATCTTTGACACATCTCAAAGGTTTAAATTTTTAAATGGTAATACATAAAATTCTTCTTCTCTGGTTGTGTATAAATACCTGTGATCCAGAAATAAAAACTTCCATTCTAAGCTGTGTCGTGATGTGAATTCTGTTTTAGATTCGTCCACTAGAGACATTTCCCGTATAAACTGAGAGTTGTGTAGTCTCACTGTACAACAGAAACAGCTGTTTTCTTTTGGTCCAGTCTGTCCGTACTGGGAACACTCCTCCTCCACACTGCTCACTGGACAAATACACAAAAATGTTGGGAGAAAATATGCAATACATGTACATGTGCATATGAATTTTCTATTAACCACTTCACAATGTCAAGGTTTTGTTATATCCTTTCCCTATACACGTATTCCTTTGTGTAGAGGAGCCTGGACATTGACAAGATGCCTCTAGATAGAACTACTTTTCCTACAGAATTCATTCTAATAACTAGACTAAAAAATTTGAACAGTATAAATTTGAGTGACTGATGATGCACTATTTTTGTGTAAATTAATGTGATGACCTACATTTATCCCTGCTCCAGTGCTGGAACCCTGACAGACTAACCACTTCATACAGGGGACTGTTACTGGGGGGCAAGGATTCCCTCCTGAAGTGACAACTATAACACAGCTGATCCTTCTCTGAAAAAAAAACCAAACAATTTACATGTATATCTGAGTGTTTCTGTCATTCTCTTATATTTTGGTTTTTTATTTTTTAAAAACAATTCTCACATTAATCAACTACCAGATATTTTGGCAACATTTACCAGAAATTACAAAAAAAGGAGTTAGAGGACCCGTGAGCACTGAGCTCAAAAAATGAAATCCCTACATTCATATGATTTTAATGGCAAAGTCCTTTTTTTTTGCTATGAGAAAGAATGGCAGTGTCCATGTTTTGCTGTGGGAAAACCCAAAAATCTGTCTGATCAAAAGGAAAAATAGGAAGTGCACAATAGGAAATAAAGATTCCGTGAAAGACTCATTAAATTTTAATATAATAATATATGAACATATCAAACAAATCATTTATATAAAATTATCTATATTCAATTCATCTTTCACGGGGGGGGGGGGGGGGGGGGGGGGGGGGGGGGGGGGGTGGGGGTTACTACTGCATAACAAAAACATACATGAATTTCTTGGCAGCAAATTCCTACCTTTGGCACGTTCCTCTGGAGAAAGCATGCTGTAGTGGAACAGGATGTTATAGAGGTTTTGCTTTTCATTCTCATGTATAAAGCTGTATACAGATTGATTAGTGAGGTCTGCCTGTCAAAGTAAATAATCATACAGAATATCTTTGAATTGTAAGCTTTAAAAAGAAAAAAAAATTGGGTTTTTTTTCTCTCAAGTAAAAACAAAGGTAATCAAAGATTACGAAGCTCACTTCTTCGAATGTTATCTATAAGTAAGGCAAATTTCACATCATGTTTTTTTTCTAGTTAGTGTACATCCAAAGATCAATATCTATGCAAATTTGGTTTAAGTAGGACTTATAGTTACTTGGAAATAGACCTGCTCAAACAAACTTTTAACTTGTATACTAATCAAGGAAATTTTGGTCAGTTCCAACATCCAAAGCAAGTCTGGAAGTTTTCATCCTTAGATGCACCATATATGCAAGTTAAATCAAAACAGGCCATAATATTATACAGCTACTCCAAAAAAATTACCCTTGGTCACTCATTTGGAAAATGTAGGTCGGATTCAGAATCCAAAGCAAGTCTGAAAGTGTTCATCCCTGGATACATCATTCATGCTAATTTGGTTAAAATACAAATGGTTAAAATTCACTATGTCGACAATCTAGGTCAGATCCAGCATCCAAAGTAGGTTGGTTATTGTACATCCCTAGATGCATCATCCGTGAAAGTTTGGTCCAGGTAGGGCTTATAATTACTTGGGAATGGACTTGCTCCAAAATCTTAACCAGGTCACTCATGTGGAAAATCTAGCTCAGATCCAGCATTCGAAAGCAAGTTTGGTAGTGTCCATCCCTGGATGCATCAAACATGCAAGTTTGGTCCAGATAGGGCTTATTACTTACCTGGGAACGGACCTGCTTCAAAAACTTTAACCTAGTCACTCAACTGGAAAACCTAGCTCAGATCCAGCATTCAAAGCAAGTTTGGTAGTGTCCATCCCTGGATGCATCAAACATGCAAGTTTGGTCCAGATAGGGCTTATTAGTTACCTGGGAACGGACCTGCTTCAAAAACTTCAACCTGGTCACTCATCTGGAAAATCTAGGTCAGATCCAGCATCTGAAGGTAGTGTAGTGTCCATCCCTAGATGCATCATCCATGCAAGTTTGGACTAATTAAGGCTTTTAGTTACTTAGGAATGGACCTGCTCTAAAAACTTTAACCTGTTCACTCATCTGAAAAATCTAGGTCAGATCCAGCATTCCAAGCAAGTGTGGTAGTGTCCATCCCTAGATGCATCATCCATGCAAGTTTGGTCCAGATAGGGCTTATTAGTTACCCGGGAACGGACCTGCTTCAAAAACTTCAACCTGGTCACTAATCTGGAAAATCTAGGTCAGATCCAGCATCTGAAGGTAGTGTAGTGTCCATCCCTAGATGCATCATCCATGCAAGTTTGGACTAATTAAGGCTTTTAGTTACTTAGGAATGGACCTGCTCTAAAAACTTTAACCTGTTCACTCATCTGGAAAATCTAGGTCAGATCCAGCATTCCAAGCAAGTGTGGTAGTGTCCATCGCTAGATGCATCATCCATGCAAGTTTGGTCCAGATAGGGTTTATAGTTACTTGGGAATGGATCTGCTCCAAAAATTTAACCTGGTAACTCATCTTGAAAATCTAGGTCAGATCCAGCATCCCAAGTAGGTGTGGTTAGCGTCCATCCCTAGATGCATCATCCATGCATACCGACGCTTTGGGTATAGCATAAGCTCACTATAGTTATTTTGGCCCTGCTGTTCTTTCTCAGCTGATTTTTTTTTTAAATTTCCCTTTATAATTTCATAAAAATGTTGACTTAATATATGAAACAAATCTGGCCCTAGGAGAGCTATGATTTAATCAAAACTAAAACCACACAATATTGGGATGCTTCAATATCAATACAATGAACAATGGCCCTTTACTGCAATGATGCTCTGTGCCAAATTTGGTTGAAATTGGCCCAGTAGTTCTGGAGAAGAAGATGAAATTGTGAGTGGTTCTGAAGAAGAGGATGAAATTGTGAAAAGCTTATGACAATAATGACAATGATAAACAACAAACAAATTTTGATGAGAAAAGCTCACTTGAGCCTCTGGCTCAGGTGAGCTTAAAACCTCTAATACATTTCACCACCTCTCATTTGTTGTCACCAGCTTAGCACTTCATAAATATAAAACACTTTAGCCTTGCATCAATAAACTAAAGTGAGTATATCTAACAATGTTAATTTAGAGAGTTTACAGAACTACCCCCCCCCCCTTCCAAAAAACCTTTTTTGCATTTTTCTGAATGCAACTCAGGTCACCTAAAAAAAGGAGAGATTTTAAGATTTCTACATCATCAATGAATACTGTAAAAAGCTGAATGTTCCTGATTCTCCCACAACGACACAGCATACATCAGTACTTACTGGTGATTCTCCCACTACGACACAGCATACATCAGTACTTACTGGTGATTCTCCCACTACGACACAGAGTCCATCAGTACTTACTGGTGATTCTCCCACTACGACACAGAATCCATCAGTACTTACTGGTGATTCTCACACTACGACAGAGTCCATCAGTACTTACTGGTGATTCTCACACTACGACAGAGTCCATCAGTACTTACTGGTGATTCTCACACTACGACAGAGTCCATCAGTACTTACTGGTGATTCTCACACTACGACACAGCATACATCAGTACTTACTGGTGATTCTCACACTACGACAGAGTCCATCAGTACTTACTGGTGATTCTCCCACTACGACACAGCATACATCAGTACTTACTGGTGATTCTCACACCACGACAGAGTCCATCAGTACTTACTGGTGATTCTCCCACTACGACACAGCATACATCAGTACTTACTGGTGATTCTCACACTACGACACAGAATCCATCAGTACTTACTGGTGATTCTCACACTACGACACAGAATCCATCAGTACTTACTGGTGATTCTCACACTACGACAGAGTCCATCAGTACTTACTGGTAGGTGTCCCAGCAGGGATGTAACACTCTCTGATACATACAGTATATTGCCTTGTTGAGTAAAAACCAGTAAAAAACTGTCCAATGCCTGAAAAGGAATCAAGAATATCAGTTTAACACATTTTGTTTCTATCTTCATGTACATCACACAAATGCTACATGTAGTTTAACACATTACATCCACAATGAACTATAACTGTTAGTACTTTTTCACAAGTATGTAGATCCTTGAATGCAATACTCTCAAATAAACACTTGCATGAAAAAGATCGCCATTAAAAAGGGTGGTGAAATGATACTCATTGGCTTACATTTAGCATGTGATGCATGGAGTATCACTGAAAAGGAAGAGGGCTACCAGGATACACAAAAAAAACTTTCCTCTGGCAAATGATGTATCATTATAGTTACATAATAAAAGTTGGTACAAAGATACATGAAAAGCATACCTCTAGCATGAGATGCATGAACTCATCATTAGAAAGAAAGGATGGCTTCCAGTCCTCCTTGATTTCATGGGCCTGTGCCTGTACTGCTGTCTCTAAATAAAAATTATTGTGTGTCTTTAAATCTAAATACATGAATATATATTGATATAATATTATAAAATATTATAGAATTGCACACAGGCATGTGGTATAAGGGGGGCATGTGTGTGTGAGATGGGGGGCCGGCTGCCTTCACCCCTCACTCTTTGTTGCAGCATGGTTCAATTTTTGGATATTATTGTATCCAAAACTTGTTCAAAATTCGAAAAGTGCATGTCATTATAAAAGTATTACCTTTTTTAAGGGTAATGTAAAAGTTTTATCCTGCAAAAGCAATTGTTGACTGAGATGAAGCCACTGTCAACAATGGTTTTCAAGGGATTACAACTTCACGTTACCCTAAAATATTATGCTATAATTTTTGGTTATGCTAAATGTATTTAGAATTCATTTACAGGAAAATGTCATGGTGAATCGTATTCTGCTCATTCTGAGCAGTTAAAAATTTTTATACTGTTATCCATCGTAAGTATTTTCAACCATTTCAATGTAATGTTACCTGGAGGGCGTGATTTATACATAGTAACAGTACTTTATAACAAATGTTTTAAAACCAATCAAATTTGACTATTTAACATGAATGAAAAACAACAGTGATTTATCATTGCAACAATATCTTTTATTTTTTTTTTTTTTGTATTTTTATCAGACAGTACACACAACCAGGTTTCAAACTCTTTATCTACTGACATATGCCTCCCACTATTTCATACTTTAATAATCTGGCTAAAAAAAAAATTATCGAATTTAAAACAGCCTTACAGGTTTGACTCACACCTTCTCTTATGGAATTGTATTACAAACATAGGTATCTCTTTTTCTATATGATTCCAATAAGCAAGAAATTGTTCAAAGAGTGTTTACAAATGAAACACGAATGAATATATCTCACTTTGATAAATATTTCAATAATGACATGTGATGTGACATGAGCTATGTAAATATGAGACTGCTTACTTCATAGATTGAGCTCAAAAGATAAGCTGTAGAGCATGCTCCTGGATTTGCTTTAATGTATATTTATATACTGAATGAATATTATGGTTTAACAAGAGGCCCACAATGCTCACCTGAGTAACTTTAGCACTGATTTCTTCAGAAAATTTAAAATCTTCTTCATATTCCCAGGAAAAATTGTGACCCCATATTATTAATTATCCCACCTCAGACAAATTTGCAGATTACTGATTCATTTGGATAAAAGCTAAATACAAGACAACCTGAATATTATGTCTCCATCCATGGTAATACATAAATTGGGCATTCAATTCCGTTCAAAGCATTGTTATTGTAAATAGAAGGTTAATAAGTGACCCCACGGACCGAAATTTAACAATTTTACTCTTAATGCTGAACTTGAAATTGAAAACTGTTGAGGTCTGTTTTTAACTCTAGCCCCTTGAAATCCCTTATATGTATTTCTATTTAACTGGGAAATTCCCACAGACAAATTCAAAGGCTCATAAAACCAAACATATTTTTCATATGCATACCAAAGTTAACAAGAAATGTTTGTAAAACACTTATGTCTCCCCCCCCCCCTCCCCCAAGTAATTTGAATTTTTCAAAGTCCAAGGAGCATAAGTCTGTCAAAAATTGCTCGATTGTACCCAAAACAGAACTTGACCTATATATTCTTATGATAAATCACATTTCAGTGTGTGCAACCTCTGCGAAGAAAATGAACAGAAACTGTTGGTGGATCGACAGACTGACCTACTGGCAGACAGCAGCAAAGCAATATCCCCTCCCTTCTTCGAAGGGCGGCATAAAAATTAAAGAGTATTATGCCTATGAACAGCTGTACAAAGGAACATACATCTTATAGGTTTATTTCTGAATTTTTTTTAAGACAATTCAGACCTCTTAAATTCCTATCAGGGGTCAAAAAGTGCCCATGGACCATTATTTATTTTTATTGTACCGTATTTACTCGCCTACAAGTCGTTTTTTTGGGAGTTAAACTTTGGTCCAAAACCCTTTATCCGACTTATACGTGAGTTATATAAAGATTGGTATTTTGGCAAGTCAATCCCTCAAATTTAAACTTAAAAGATACAACCGACTTATAGGCAGACCAACTTATAGGCAAGTATGTACGGTATTCTTTATGCTAAAACCAAAAACTGTTTTAAAGATTGGTTGAGAAATATAAAAAGTTCCACTAAAAAGAGTTTTTGTACTGGTCTCTAAAAATCTCTTATTCCCCAGAATTTTATTTTCATAAACTAATCAGTCAGAAGAATTGCAAAGTAAATCTGTACCTTAAATTTCACTAGAATTGCTTGTTTATCTTTTAGAAAAGTGACATGCATGATTTCATTTTAACTTACAAACTCCCCTAAAGAATTTTCAAATACTCAAAGATCTACTTTGATTGACACCTTACCCTACAACATCTTCTCATCAATATCTAGACACAATTTAATCCTCTACAGAATTTTCTTATTTCAATATTTAAATTTTTATCCCTCCTTTTTTATGTCTGGAGTCTTACAATGCAAAAAGGATCAAAATAGTACAGAAACACTGCCACAGAAACACTTTTTATAGGAAATCTTACAAAAAATCTATTTCTAAAGTTTGAGTTAACTTGCATGTGAAATAAGAAATCTTTTAGCTTCCTTTGAAAATTTCTGTTTTTGACTTTCAGAAACCGGAAGTGACATAACCAGATGTACAAAACCTTAAATATGTGAGACATTTTTATTTACTATTTTTTGGTTATAATATAAATTCAATATTCTAAAAGACTTTCTTTAAATCTGTGTTGAAAAAAAAGTGCTGAGGATACTAATAAAATAACAAAAAAACAATAGGGCTTTTCACTACAAGTTCAGAATAAGGATGGCAAAACTGTGACTTGATGAGTTGTATTGTTTGTATTGGTAAGAGATTACTGATACTTAGAATAGATCAATAGAATGCAGAGGGTCCTGGGTAATAACCTGTGTTCTTATAGTACAGTAGTCTATCCTACTCTTATCACCTGACCATCCACTATGAATTAAGATGAAAAGTAATCTGCATTATTTAACATTGTCACTCCAAGTCACAGACATTGAAGTAAGAATGCCGACAGTCTATTCATTATTGTATGTGTACAGAACTGCAGCAGGTGCTAATACAAAACTCTTATGACATGATCATTGTTTTCTGGTAGGCAGTGCAGTCTTAGCACACACAATGCTTCTCAGTAATATGTCTTGGATAGTTTGGAGGTGATTGGTAGTACAGTTATACAGTCATTTTTTCTCCTATCTTGTCATTAAGATATTTTGGTAGAATTTGATTTATTCCACTGCTTTTACCATGGTAGGTTTAGAGTATGCTATGATTGGTTGTGGACTCTTTCACAGTGGTTGACTTCCATATTCTTTACTTTGGCCAGTTTTAAGTATGCTTAGCTGTCTTGTGAATTCTCTTAATAATTTTGAGTTGTGCTACAGTTGACAAACATTTTTCTTGAGAGTATTGAGCTATGATGTTAATTGAGAATTGTTAAGTTTTGAGGATATTATTACCAACTCATAGATTTTGAGAAACTTTAGTTTTGTAGTATTCAATGCTTGAATGATTTTTCTTTCTTATCTTGATGGATTTTGAGGTTGCCTTGGTTGACATTTGATTTCTTTACCTATGTAAGTTTTGGAGTATGCCTTTATTGACAATGTAACCTGACAATGTAACCTGTGGCTGACTTGAGATTCCTCCATAGTGTTGTTGCATGGTTGACATGTAGCTGTTTACATTGTTAGTGACATGAGAATTCTTACCAAACTGAGCTTTAGGTTTCATATTGTGTGAGTACTTCAGTATTCCTAAGGGTAGTTAATTTTTCTTTTCAAAAGTATTCTTATCTTTACGAGTTTGAAGTATGCAATGGTAGTCATGAAATATCTTGACTACTTTTTTTGTGTATAGGCTTTTTTTCCGCAAAGTTTTTATACCTTGGTAAGTTTTGAGGTATGCTATGGTTGACTTGAGGACTGTGGATTTATCCATCTTTTTGCTGGATGTGGAAACCATTGAGCAAAGTTCGTTGACGAGCATGTTAAACTGGTCTCTACGTTTCTTCTCACTTAGGTTCCGATTCACCCTTCAAATAAAGACACTGTGTAAGCCTCTTTTTTACAATTACATACAAAGACAATTCAAACAAAGAGACACAATCGGTGGCATTTGAACAAAATTATGGATGAACAAGACACTAAGCACCCTACCTGTCAGTAATGTCTTTATTGCTGCCCCCTCCTTTACTGTCCTCAGAGAAAAAACTGAAGATGTAAGTGATTCAATTATTAATTAACTAATAATCAGATACAGTAAAACACTTTTTATTTGCTAGAACTTTATTTTTGTGTAAAGAAACAAGGCTGACTGCTCAAAAAAAATTTCATTCATGGCATATATTAGTATTATTAAAGTTTATACATAGCAATGACCGAAATTCGCCAACATTTTATCTTGCTTATAAATACCAAATAACAATCTTGGAAACTAAGGTGTCATGAGAATTAAGTGCTCTACTACCTAATTCTTCTAACTCTTGACACACTTTTAAAATTTGCTGCCTCTGTACTAATAAGGGCCATAGGAGTTTTGTGTTAATGGTATCATTTTTGTCTTAGTTAGCAGGCCAATTCAAGCTAATTTATAGAAGGGAACTTTTTTTTTAAGAATTGGGGGGAAAAAAACAAGCTATGGACACTAGGTGATCAACTTGTTTTCCTATGTTCAATGCTTGAGAGTTCTAGCAAGAGAGATTAATCTATAAATATAAATTAATTCACAGTTCTGTGACATCAGAAATTGACACTGAAACCAACACTGAACAGCTGGTGTTAATTGTAGTATTTAATATATATATGCTATAAATACCCTTAATAACCACTTATCTTATAGTAATATATTTTATACTAAATTTCTAAGATCGAAAACATCAATATTTGGTGTGGGTTATTTTCAAGATTTAAATAGTCTGCCTAAGAGACATTAACACTCTTTTTACATAGAAATGAAATTATTTATCAATCATAATTTTTAAAAATTTTGTGTAAAACACAGAAAGGCAAAGAACTAGATGTAGTATCAATCTCAACTACCTGGTCTTATATGATGCCCCCCCCCCCCCCCAAATAATAATAATAATTTGTAGTACAGAAAATCAAATTCACATAAAACTGTATCTTTCTGTTTAATGTCATCTGTGACTAAACTGAACAAACAGTTGCAGCATCAGAATTATCATTTAATGGACTGCTCCAGACATCATTAACCATCATCCTTGACAAGAAACACAAAAAAGAAACTTCTATCATGTCTGAAGCAGTCATAAACAAGGTATCAGCAGCCATGATTCAAATATCAATCTTTTCAAAACTTAGCTACTCAACTTCATGATCACAATTATAGATCATATTTAAATGGCTTTTTTAGATACCCATTAATCAACTTTGAAACGTATAGTTTATCCCAGACCATGAAATCCTCATTTCTGTCAGATTTTATTACTGGTGTGTGCAGCTATTACAATAATTACTTTGAGCTGACAGTTATTCCGCGCCATCACCAAAGTCATTTATTGTAAGAGTACAACAATTAACTCTGTTAGTGACGTCTTTCAATATCAACTCAATATCAGTACATGTACACACCTTTTGGTACTTTTCCCATCTTCATCAAAATCATCTCCTAGGGAATGCTCACTACAAGCAAAGAAACTTTAATGAAAATTACTTTGTGAAATTTATCAATAGTTCATACTGATATTGTATTCAGTGTCATTTTTGTGAATTCTTAGCAATTTGATCCAGAAACAACAGCATTTAATTTTTAGGCACTTCTATATTAATTAGTTGATAAATGTACTCAGAGACAGCTAAAAAAAAATTATTTTCATTTTATAAATCTCAGACTGATTGACTGATTAAACACCAAAATTAGGAACTGACACCCAACGATACAGGACAGTACGAGACAGATTAAGAAGTTGGAATCATTTCCCCATAATATCTAAGCCACAAATTACCATATGCCACTCTCCTAATTACTTGCACACTTACTTTACTGTTATGACCAAAAGTGTTGACAGTGAAAAGGTAAATACCTGTAGACTGTCACCTTAGATCACTGAGAGAAGAGTTGATGATGACAAAGGTTTGATAAAAACACATTTCCCCATACAACTTTTTGATGACTAGTGCAAAAAGGACCAATTTTGTACCCATCTTATTGTATTTTTTAAGACATACATGTCTCATCAGGTGGTATTAATGTTGATATTAAAATGTGTTAAAGTAATATGAAGAAAAAGTTTGTTTTTTTTTTTTAATTAAAAATAATAATAATAATTTTAGCTATAAACTCTGCATTTTTTAACATGATGCCTTAAAAGTCACCTGAACGTTTAAATTATTTCTTAAAATAAATTATCATTTATGGTAATGGTAAACAAGTTGACTAAAGAGACAAGAAAATAAACAGAAACAGTCTATGATGCACCAGAATTCAAAATGCATTCATTGACAACATAAATTTTCATTCACCTACATATGAACTTAATTATTAGCAGTGTATCTACATGTATAGAGTCATTATGGTTTGACATATATATCCATAAAATCATTGAACATCAGCTAGTAAGGGGTTCACATGGGATGTGCATGGATGACAGCTTGGTAACATAATATAAAGGAGTTCACATAACCATGCAGACTTTCAAAACACTTTGTGATACAGCATTGAGTTGACCTATTATTCCAATGAGTACCAAACTTAAAGGTTCATCTCCTAGTTACTATAAGCTCTATATAAGCTCTACATGGACCTTTTTTCCAGACAATGATATGGAGGAACATAAACATGGGATGGGTGTCTTTGGTCTTATTAAAGCACGCCCTTTCTTTAATGTGAAATACAGGGCCCTCGATAAAGCATCGAAGCAAAAACTGTGGAACTCCCTTTGTTTTCAACTTTATTTCTTATGTAGCTTGTAACAAGAGCTTTGATTGGTTACAAAGTCGGGTGTAAATTTCCATACACCCAACTTGAGCCAGGGGTAAAAAACGTGATGACATGTGCATTGTTTCTCTATGATAAAAAGCAAATAACATGACGTCACGATGCATTGTAAGACATTAAAAAAATCTTATCAATAGCTTGAAACACAGTTGATTGGACTTGTTTACAAAGAATTTATTTGGGTACATAGGAAATAAATTCGTTATCCAGATCCAATCAAGGGTGTACAGGGATTTAACTTGATTTGACCTGGATAACTAATACTATACCAATGGGAATAAACTGAAAAAAAAAACTAAATGAGGATGCTTTGGTTAGATCTCTTTCTTATAGAAAAATCATTATACAATATTTTATAGCCAGTCATAATCTGGAAAATAAAAAAAATAAAACTATAGGCCTATACATTATATGGATACTTACTCCCACCACTTTAAATCATTTTTTTTTACATCTTCTTTAAGCAAATTATATTTATATGGAGATATGGATATCCTGGGAATTGTATTTCAAATAATGAAAATAAAATGATTTGCTTCGTGATGAAATATGAGTATACAAACGTAAGTATTCTTATTCAATCAGCTTTGTTTTAAATTGCAATGACTATATAATAATAAAATATTTAACTTGTCAATAAACCAATTGCATACAGATCATTTATGATTTATGCTCTCAATTATAACCAGTGATTTTTTTTTAGATTACATTTTACCAAATTGTACCACTGACAATATCACTCTCAAAGTGTCAAATTCTGTGACACGATTTTCTCTAACCTTTCGCTTCTGCTTGGAAGCATGAGCTTTATCCGCTTCCCGTAATTCATGTCATTGAATCAAAGATAACAGTTCCAACATACTGATACAGCATCATCATTATCCATTCTGTAACTTTCTTGCAAAAACACGGGGAGACATCATGATCACATTCATGTCAGATACTTATCCGTCGCCATTTTTTTTTTTATGTTGTGCGACTTTCATCGTGGTTATCGTATTTCGCACCGACAGGTCTTTTCAGTACATAATGTCAATCTGTCTCACTTAAAAGTTAAAACCCAGTCTGTCCCTCGTAAAACCAGTCTTTGAACACTGGAAAAAGGGTGTGGTTGCAAAACTGTTCAAATCTTACAGGGATTAACGAAAAGGCACCACCAGGAGTAGAGCTTTCTGACTTTTTCCACAGGCATCTGACAAATGGTTGGTGTAACCCCCCTCCTTCTGAGAATTTTTAGACACGATAACATAGGAAATATGCATGGATTCCCAATCTTCCATACCTGATATCATTTCCCGTTTTTGTGAAGTTTTAGAGATTGTCCCTTTACGGTATATAAAAATACTAAAAGCAAGAAACAAAATCTTGTAAACACACAGGGATTCTGAGAAGGAAGGGGGTTGCAAATTTAGACCTGAACGGCGACCATTTGGCCGGGGGGGGGGGGGTAGCAGATTTTGGAAATAGATAATCTGTCCTCGAATATGTTGGAAATAAATAATCCGTCCTCTGTAGTCCTGTCCTTGCCTAGGAATAGAGCCTGGTGCTAACCCCTCCCCCTTTCCAGGAAATAGAAATTTAGAATTTGTCGGGCAATTTGTCCTTTTTGTGTGTGAGCTTTTTTTTTTATTTTTGCTTTTTAAACTGAAGAAAATGAATAATCTTTTCTCGATCATCTTAGAAATAATTAAACTGCCTTTCATCGACATGAAAATAAATAATCTTACTCGGAAAAATTGCCCCCCCCCCTTTCAGAATAAAATGGTCATCGTCTAAGATCTCATATTTTTTTTAGAGTTTCATTGGGATATGATATGAAGTTGGTCACGTGTTTAAATCCTATGCCCGAAGGGCATTTATGGTAGATACAATGAAAAAATGCACTTTTTAGACTTTTTTGTGGAAATGCAACATAGCATAAACGTACGACGTCAGGTGACGTCACAGTCTCTTTCTTCCTCCATGGAAGAGAAGGACCGCTACTATCGTTTTGTCTCACTTTGGTTAAAAAGCGTGTGCAAGAGGGGGAGTCCACGCCTCTATTTACAATATAATTACAATATAATAAAAACTGATAACAAAAATGCCCTGTTTCCTTTAAGGCGCTGTAAATCCATGAATCCTGGTCTTAAAGGAATCCAGGGACACGGTCATAATGATGCCTTCTAGCAGCTGGTTCCATATCCTGATGGTGTTTGGAAAAAAACGATTCCTTGACGACGATGGTAAGGCAGAATAGGATCTTACAAGTACCGATGTTCTGTTCCGTTGTGACTGTTCAGGACTGTGTGGCAGTCTAAACCTTCCAAATGCTTTCCATACGCAAGAAAGTCTGATCACGTGACCAACTTCATGTTGAAATGCAATGCCAATTTAGTTTGTATTGTAAATATTGAGCAGCGAAGGGTCTTTTGCGTGCCAGCACCTACTGCGACATGGAACCTTGATTTAATACGGTCTCATCCAACAGATCGTTCTCCATGCACGTCGCACACTGGATTCGAACCCACGACGTTAGGATCAACTCCTTACTTCGCGACTCTAGAGCAAACGCTTTAACTACTGCGCCACGCGGCGACTGGTGAATTAATTACAAATAGAATTTTATTCCACTTTGATGAATTTTGTCGGACTTACGGCCAATACTAATAAGAGACTAAGTACTGCTTATGCAATACTTATTGTCTATTACTGCTTAGCACTATCACTCTAAGAACGTATCACAGGAGATTTCTGTACAGGCCTACAGCCTTGAAATTTCAGACGTCAAAGACAAAACAATATGTTCTATGTGGTAAAAATGCTGTTTATAAGTCATTATTTTATAAGCACCTTCTCTTCGTTGACTCTAAAATCCTCGGCCCTGGATGAATATCTACCTAGTTTCTTTCTTTCACTGGACACAAGAATGTTGATATTATAAACAATATGGCATAAAACACGAATTCCAGAGGTGAGATCAGGTGCGTATGAGAAGTAAGCATTCCCTGTCGACCGACAACATCCTAAGCATTGATAAGGTGGACAGAATATATGTGGTCGTAGTCTAATTTCGTATAAAAACAAAAGCCTAACAATTATTTCGAAATACGTCAGTCAAAAAACGACACGATAGGATATATTTGTTAATAAAGTCATTCTAACGACCATAAAATTTACGAAATGCTGACCTTAAACGAAATTTTTGAAACCCCTGTAACATCAACTTATCCGTCGATAACCTGCCTCTCTTTGAAATTTAATTAATCGTACTCGGAGCATGCTTTCGAGTATTGAATAAGTTGGGAGACATCAACACTATATGCAGGTGATAGCCGAATATTACTACATAAAAAAGGAAAGCTGACGATGGAAAAGCTGAAGTCATTTCGTTTGTAATACAATTTAGTGTTAGTTGACCCTTATTGTCTAAAGTCTGTCAAACATCCAATTATAAAACAGATGTGGCAGACTCTGATGTCTTTTATTTCAAGTTCACTGGGATGTATTGAGTCGACATATGAATGGACGTGACTATTAATTGATAAAATGCTGTCGATATATCTGAGTGTCGAGTTAAATATCACAGCCAGTGTTTTCTTCTTTTCATGTAGAAGTTTTGAATAAATTCTGCTTTATAAGAATACAAAAACAGGTCGGCTAATACAGGAGCACAGTAAGTGCCTATCGCAATTCCAACAGTTTGTTGGAAGACTTGGGGCCTGTTTTAGAAAAGAACTTACGACTAAGACCAACAAATTAAGTTCTTTGTAAAATTTTGCAAAATGAAATCATTCTGTTTAAAATTGCTAGCGTTAAAGTATTTTTCTAGATAACTTTTAGAAGGATTAAAACAGTTTTCCATTTAAAGTAAGAAATTCATAAGCAGAATTCAATTTAATCTTAGTCGTGTAAGTTCTTTTGTAAAACAGGCCCATGGTGTCTAGAGGCTACATAGATGTTGTCAGTAAGGATCCGGAACTCCAATATTCTTGTAATATCAACTTCAGAGTACTAGCACTTGTGTGTAGAATCAGAGTGATTTTCATCTTGCACATAATTACATGTAATTATAAGTGTCAATTAAAACCTTGATGACTTTCTGCACCGCAAAAATATTTTACCACATTATACCCCCGGGAGGGAAATAATACTGTTTCTAATCCAAAATGAATTCCCCTTACACAGGTATTTGCGTAAAATCAAGTATTGTCTCTTGTTGCTTATAAAATATGCAGTGCTTATACAGAAAGTTATTCTCTAATTTTGAACCTTTCCCTTCTATATCACAGAGTGAGTTTGCCGAACATGAGAGCATCACTAGAAATAACAAGTAAAATTGATGCAAAGCATCCAATCGACCGGAAACACAATTAAGCATTTATAATAGAGAGAGAGAGAGAGAGAGAGAGAGAGAGAGAGAGAGAGTAAAGTAAAATATTTTTCGATAGGTCCTAAATGGGTTTCTACGGAAGCCCATTTAGGACCTATCAAAACATATTTTCGATTTCGATATAACGAATTGTAGAAATTGTTCTAATGAATTTAATTGTTAGAACAATTTCTTTGAATTCGTTATAACGAATTTAATCTGACTGTTGTAACAAATTTGTTGAATTCGTTATAAAGAATTCAACATTTTGTTATATCAAATTCAACAATCAGGGCCTATAGAAAAATATGTATGAATTTGATATAACGATTTGGCAAATTCGTTTCAACGAATTTAAATCGTTATAACAAATTAGAGAATTCCTTTTAACGAATTTAATTCGTTATAAAAAGTTTCAGAATTCGTTATAACGTTATAACAAATTCGACAATTCGTTATAACGAAATTCATCAAATTTCTTATAACAGATTAGATTCATTATAACGAATTCAAAGAAACTGTTATAACGAATTAAATTCGTTATATCAAATTCGACAATTCGTTATATCGAATTCAAAAATATTTTTTGATGGGTCCTAAATGGGCTTCCGTAGGTTTTCGTACAAAACCTCAACGAGAGCCGAATGTAATTCTTTCTTCAAATTATGGACACTAAAAATATTATATGACATGGCCACCCCTATCTACCTTCAAAATATCTTATATTTCTTTACTTTACTATAGAAAACGTTAATACCCGTGGGACCAAAAAGAAACAGAAAAATGTCCAATATTATGAATGTATTCATATGATCAAATGATAGACAGGCAGACACGGGGGAAGGCAATAAAAGTATCACCAAGACCCACTTTTCACGCCGCAGATTGACGGACAACTCTCACGTGTCATGTCCTGAACACGAACAGCAGAATTAACCGAATTAAAGAGACCTTCCAACCACACACACACCCCTATGTGTGTGTGTGTGTGTGTGACGTTGCGCATTTAGCCTCAATTAATTAATAAATTGGTAAAATAAGAAACTTTTTTGCCATCATTAGTTTTTTTTCTCCCGTTTTTTTTTTTTTTACCTTACTGAGATACAACCCCGTGCCATATCAGCAGACCCGTAGTACCAGCCCTTGTTAAAGTATAGTCTTTTTGTTGTAAATTTAGTATGAAAATTAATGTTTTCATACAAAGCCCCCCCCCCCCTCCGCACACACATTCTTGTTCCAGTATGGTCCAACCTTCTCAAGTTATTTTAATAGAGAGAGAGAGAGAGAGAGCAAGAATTGACCCCACCACTCCCTATTATACAAGGAGTTTTGATTCAGGACAGTTTTGGGATTTTGAATTTATATTTAAAAAATAATTCTTTTTCCCCTTATCACTCCTATCCTTCAGTCCCTGTTATACTGTTCTCGAAACAAATCGTAGGTTTCTTGCTCCTCGGGATACAACTGCAGTTCACCAGTGTCCTTTCTGACATCTTTTATTTTATCAAATAAACTCTGCAATATGAAGTCATATTGCAGAGGTTATTTGATAAAATAAAAGATGTCAGAAAGGACACCAGTTTGATGCATGATCAGTT